CTGATGAAGGTGTGAGGCTGGACAGAAGATGTCCATGCATCATAGAAACTCCTTCCTGTACAAGTATTACAAGGTATCATCAGTGACAAAGTTAATGTCAAAGGTCAAGGAGGAGTAGAATAATGTCAAAGGTCAAGGAGGAGTGGAATAATGTCAAAGGTCAAGGAGGAATGGAATAATGGTCAAAGGTCAAGAAGGAATGGAATAATCTTAGAGGTCAAGAAGGAGTGGAATTGTGTCAAAGGTCAAGATGTAGAATAATGTCAAAGATCTGTGGGAGAAGTAGGAGTTATGTCAAAGGTCAATGGAAAATTGAAGTGGTTGCTTTAAGGTCACAGATGAGAGGTTGAATGTTGTACATTAAAGGTGATGAGGAAACTGTGTAAAAATGAATGTCAAACGTGAAAAACACGTCAAAGCAGAAATGTTAAAGGTCAAAGGAGAAGAGAGAGTTTGGAAGTTGAAAAAGTAAGCCAGATATTGTTAATAAAGCGGTAAAAGTTCAAGAAGAAGAAGGTGATTTATTTCCAACTATAAAAAGCCAGCTCTTTCACTGTTGATGAATTGCAAGCTTTGTTTTTTTGCTGGACAATGACATGAATTATGACGGCAAGTTCTATCTTAATATGAAATCCCCTTTTAAGGCTTTAAAATCCAAATTTGTTGTGAAATAGACATTAATCTTTATGTTTGTGTTTACTGTTAGAGGAAAATTGGCCGATTCAACATAAAAAAGTAAGATAATGTTATTAATTGTACAGTGTTTGTGACAGACAAGCACTTAATAATATTACTTCTATTTACATTTTATCTTTTAATGCTTTACACAAATTAGCTTAATGTAATATTTGTACTAAAGCGTTATGATATTTGATCTGGTCTGAACTGTCAATGCACTCTATCTAGAATGGTCTCGGTTTTCTACATGTTCGACAAAGCAGGCAGAATTGATTATGTTACATAATGGTGGTCATTGTTCCTGATGGAGCCCAATATGGAACCACCGAGTACGATTCACTTATCCACCCCGTGACATATGATTGGATGATTTAGATCGGCAAATAAAAACTACCCTCTCTCCCCCAAAATAAAAAATGGGCCCACTATTCTCTTAGAGAAGAATATTAATCTATCCCTCCATATAGGGTTGAGCACTCATCAATTACGTGTCGAGATTCAGTGCACAGAGACACTAGTCTTAAACACCATGCAACAGCTGATAAATTAAAAGACTTGATTGATAAACTGGTAAAATGACATTTTAGTGGGGGATTAAATTGAAAGCAATTTTTTATTTTCTAAATGAAAATATTTTCTAAGCAGACAGAATTGCGGGCATTGTGTTGTGAATTTGAGACTGTCTCTGAGCTTATTAAGTCTGTCCCTTGTCTCTGTTAGAAACAATTACATGGTGGATAGTTTTCCAACTTTTATTTTAAATTTGAATTAAATTTTATGCTTACACAAGTTGATTTCTATCTCAGATTTAATATACCTGTTTAAGATTATCAATTTTTTTACTAACATTTTGTGTTTATTTTAGATAAATTGAAGATAAACGTATCTTTACACCATGCTATATCATTTTTCATATTAAAATATTTCATTAAATCACAATGATTTAATAGGAATTAGGTAACAGACTACGCCTATGAATATAAGCCCTCTCGGAATACACATTTCCATCAATAGCAGCATTGATAATTAAATCTTTAACATTATCATTTCAACACTGCCTTGTTCATTAAAAAAAAAAATTTGTCATTTGGACAAATAATTACTCCATTCTCTTTCATGCCAGAGCTATCATCAGCGGTTAACAAAGTGAACCCTGATAGCCTGGTAATAAGCCCATGCCTGGTAATAAGCCCATCCACCCCTGTCACTATTCACTAGAATAAGTAAATGTTGTTCTATAATCTCACCATCTAATTTTGAGAGAGAATTTTTGTGTTGGCCCCTGGGTTTATTGCACCGAAGATACAATAGCAGAATTTACTGGGAGACCAGGTTATTTCAGTCCAACTTGGGTGTGCTGTCCATTATCACATGGAAATCTAGGACAATTTGGTGATTTCTAAACACTTATTGATACAAAAGATAAAAAGTTAGGTTAGAAACACAGCATTAAAAGTATGTACATAGCTGCACTAGATAAAACACACACTACTGTCTTATCCGGGGTAGGAATAGGGGACACGGATTGAATATGCATACTGAGATTATATGGAGGAAACAAATATTTGGAAGAAATATTTCAGTTGTTTAGGTTTATTGTAGTGTGCATTGTCATTGTTGCAAACGTTTACCTAGATTGTCAAATAATGCTCATGTCTACAACTGTTTGCCTCTGGAAAAGGTCAGCTAGGAAAAATATTTAAATGAACCTTGTTTTTCAACTATATTCAGTATGAAGAAAATTGCTAATTATAAAATCAATTTGATAAATAAATAACCCCACACCAAAAAAAATTGCCAACTATAAAATCAATTTGAGAAATAAATGCCGAGGTTGACATCTGTATTACTGACCATGTCCCCCTCAATTGATTTGATTATGTCCAGTAACAGATAACAGCAGGAGACCAGCCACTCCAGCCGTAGGTCAAACCAGGAGCATAAGGACAGACTAATTTATATCAAAGATAGATTTTTCTCTTACCCTGGACAAGTCCATGTTTTTAGTAGGATTTCACAGCGCAAATTCATCCATGTTACATCAATAATAGACTAACATTATGTCAACAGGGCTCAGCAGTGAGATAACAATAATATTACATGATTTCCCTCTTTGAGAGTGAGATAGGGGAATCTCAGCCTTAGGGGAAAGATTCTTGAGTTTATGAACACTAGAATCTCTCCCATATGGATGATGTTACCTTACTTACCCTCAAAAAGACAGAAGGTTCTATTACTCTGCCTCTCCGTGGGAGTGAGGGTTGGAGGTACCAAGGGACAGTGGTACAGGTACACAGAGACAGCTTGTACATGACCTTCTGGTTCAGAGGATCAGAACTTGATCAACATGTGTTGGGAATCAAGGGTCATCTCAAGTCCCCAATCATTTATAACATCCCTCCGAAAAGGATCACATTAATTTTGTCCGTCTACACCAGCATTATTAAATTGGTATTTCCGCCTGAATTGGTGGGAGCCCTGGAACATTACGGCTTATTTGTTGACTACTCATTCTGTAACTATCCTGGATAGCATTGATCTTCCTTCTTATCAATTTGTAACGATTACATTTATCTTGTACGGTTTTATTGCATAAAAATGGCCAGATTTTACAACCAAGAACAACCGATTACAACCTACTGCAAACAAACATTGATTTGGTAGATACTTCAGCATATTTACAGCCATCCCTGTTTGCACTGACAGATTTCAAATGCATTAAAAACTCAAAACAGTCATTTCAAACTTTAATAAAATCTGTTCATGTTATCTTAACTTCATTCATTGTGATAAAAATTTTTCTTCAACTTTTTTTTTGTTAATAATTGTATGAGAAATAATGAAATTAACTCCACAGCCTTTCTGCATTGACAGTGATGACCCCTGATCTCCTGCTTTCCATATCCATTATCTATCGTGAACATAGAAAAGCATTTTAATCACTCAGATTTTGTGGTTACTATCAATGTGAGATAACTATGAGAGAAATAGATTGTCCTATCAAGACCGTAAGATGTGTTTATAGACCTTGATAAAACAGCTTCCTGTGCTGCCAATAAACATCTCTTTCTGAAGGGACTTAGATATATACTGATGGTTAAAGCTTTATTGTAAAACACTATTGCTCAAAGAGGTGAAAAGACCCAGATCTGGTATATTCAGAGTGAGGTTTTATTATGAGTGTAAAAGAATTATATTTCTGTTGTAATGAAATTAGCCTGACTTGTTGAAAACCAAAAGACACAATTGAAATGGGAGTGATGATCCCCAATCCCCAACCGCTTCATGATATTTAAAGTCTTGGAGTGAATGCTGGATCCTAGGGCTATATATTTTAATATTTCATTACTTTTGCCTCTCTGCCCAATGTATCTAGACATTGAATGCTGGTCTGCTTTCCAAGTGGAGCTTAACATGTTGTTTTTATTGTGATGTAGAGAATGTCGACTAAGAGTAGTCACCTGTTTCTTGGTCGTAAATGCCAGAATTAAATCTGACTTATGAAGCAATCTTCCCATCCAGCCTCCATGCTATGTGTATTGCATTCAGCATAAAATCCCTCCTACCAGTAATCCACGCCATTAAATACTGTGAAATTGTCGTTTGTGAGCCGAGCTTGTGAATAATCTGTATGCATATGTATTTGCCATTCATGAACTGAATTTTTCAGTATTGAATTAGGTTTTCGATCTAGAATTTTCAAATTGTCTTCTAACAATGATCTGTGACTGGTTTTGAAAACTTTTCATGGATTTGAAATTTGAAACATGCCTTCCCTTGAATTAATCTTGAAGAAAGGCTAATTTTGATATTTTACTTAACAAAAACAAACATAAAATAGAAATGATATCATTATGTGTGTAATAAACAGCATATATTTAAAACAAGATGTCTACTTAGAGAATAAAGAGATTTACAGAGGGAGGAGGGAAAATCCTCGTTTTGCTGCATTACAGCATTATTAAATCACGTAGAATGTTCGGTTTACTGCCACTGTTATAGGTAAGACAAACAGAAACAGAAGTGGTTGATGCTTCAGAAAAATCAAAACTAGCTCCCATCCATCCTTCACTTGGCAGTTCATTCATTAATCAAACAGGTGTTTGAGACAAAAGCTTAAATTTACTTGTCAGAGTGTATGAAATCTAGTAGATATATTCTACCTCATATGTAAGTGAAATATGTGGTAGAGAGTATAAAGTTTCTGAAGTGGTATGTTAGAGTATATTTTGGGGATGAATTAAAGACATGATATTCAGTTATGTGTTAGTGTTGGTATGGATACCAGTCGGTAAAACTTGTCTATCTTTGTATCTTTTCAGATATGGCAAGATTGTTTCTACTAAAGCCATCATGGACCAAACTACAAACAAATGTAAAGGTAAGAGTCTTCAGAGTTACAAATACAATGGGTTACCATAGAGGAATGTTGCATCAGAAACAATGGGTTACCATAGAGGGATGTTGTATCAGAAACAATGGGTTACCATAAAGGGATGTTGTATCAGATACAATGGGTTACCATAGAGGAATGTTGTATCAGATACAATGGGTTACCATAGAGGAATGTTGTAACAGAAATAATGGGTTACCATAGAGAAATGTTGTATCAGAAACAATGGGTCACCATAGAGAAATGTTGTATAAGAAACAATGTTGTATCAGAAACAATGGTTGGCCATAGAGAAAAGGTTGTACCACAGAGGTAAGATCTTCAGAGTGATAGAAACAAGGGCTACTATAGAGAAATGTTGAACCTGCAAGGTAAGATCTTCAAAGTGACAGAAACAGTAGATTACCATAAAAATGTATTGAACCTCTGAGCTAAGATTTTCAGAGTTACAGAAACAATGAGTTACCATGGAAAAATGTACCTCTGAGGAGGGAAACTAATTGTAAATTCTCTAATTAGTATTGTGTTATTTTGGGAGGCTGTACCAAATTGATCTTAATAATTGAAAGTAAAATTACCTTTCTACTGTAAAATTAGCCGAGACTAATGCACAATGTTATGTAATGGTTGGTGCCAGCTTTAATCAGTATGTGTAAGTTACGAGTACGTTTTGGAATGTACAATCAGAATATTTACATCAGAATCGCTATGAATATAAGCAAGATCTTATGCAGTGATGACCGCATTTTCTCACACATGCTCTTGATATGCTTGGAAATACATGGTAAGCTGTAGTGTCCTTACATTAGAGTTGACACCTCAATATGTACCCTTCTGGAGGTGTTGATGGCATGTCTCATTAACCAGAACATTACAGATACAATGGGAAAATCGGCAGGCTTTGAGAATGCTAATTGTAGCCCTCTAAGCCTCCTGTAGATAAGATATGCTTTGTCGTTAACGCCTGGCGCCCTGACAAATGACAATATTTTTCTGTTACGAAAGACAAATAGGATACAGGTATAGGACAGATTCGCTGTTGAGGCATACCTCACCACCATCAACGACTTTTTAATTGGTGTATTAACCCCCTCCTGTGTAGATATGACAGCTATAAGACATGCAGTAATGACATCAATCCCCCTCTTTCATCCCCCACTTTGGTCCCCAACATACGGAACGAATCTGCTAGTTTATGCATGGTAGTGTATTCTACAATGCCAGTGCTATTGCACCTTTTCTCTAGAACTTACTCATTGACACCTGTTATAGCAGTCACACAAAAACAATTGAATTTAAATTTGGAAAAGTACAGAGAAATGCATGAATTTTCATAGCATGACTCCATGGTTTATTAGAAATTGATGTTTTCATTCCAAATAGACGAACTTTCCAAATACTTCTGTCTAGGGTCATATAGAGGTCATCTGGTACTTTTCATTATCTCCTGTAAATTATAACCCTGATTGGACAATTCTTTCACTGCTGTCCCGTTATGGGATGAAGTGTGAAGTCTAAACCCTTTGACCTTTCCTTTAGCTCTCTTAATTGGACATTTAATTCGGATCAAACTGTTCCAGCTATCTCATTGTGGTTTAATTTGTGGTCAGATGTGACTGTCACTTCACAACTCAGGCACCCAATCACGTTTAAACAGAGAATTATTGAGATGTGGCCACAAACAACTACAATCAGGAAAACAAATAGATATCTTATACAACAAAAAAATTTATAATTTTCTACCCTTGTCACATGACATGTTAAAGCATACTCTTTATAATGTTTTCATTTTGTATAAAGATTTTACATTGAGGTTCATGCAACTAAAGATCCAAAAGTTGTCAAATTTCATTTAGACTGAAACCATTAGAGCAATGTAAGGTTACCGTGACCTATATTTTATGTTTGAAATCATTAGAGTTGCGGTGACCTATATCTCATGTCTCGCTGACTATGTAGGCCTTACGCTAGCTTTATTCCTTTGGTAAGGTATGTTTCAGCTGAAGCAGAACCTTACAGTGGTACATGTATGTTTTATTAGCTGATGTAAATAAAAACTGACAAAGATCTTTAAACAATTAGGTAGAAGCATTTTTATCTTTCATGTTCTGTCAGTGACTGAATAATTAAAGAACTTTTAACTTACAATCTTACGAGGTAAATGTACTGGAACATCAAACATTCTTTCTTTTCAAAGTTAAACAACTTTCCACTTCAGAAATTTTCATTGACAACAGTGGGTAAGAGCCCTATGTAGTAATTGTATGCCTCTCTTTAGTTCTCTTTTCAAGTCTGTGACGACCATTTGGGTGGGGAGACTTAGTAATAGAAATACAAATGCTTGACACTCTCTGACGATTCATATCACTGGCATTCATGTGATCTACCCTACTTATTGAGGTCTTGTGTCTGAACACACCTTATTTCAAAATGCATATCAGATTGTAACCTATCAGTAAAAATCAATATCAAATAATATCTGGCAGTTTGAAGTTATAATGAAAATATGTGTCTAGCCAAAATTGGGGTGTGGGGGTGGGGGGATGTTATCAAACTGGAGTCAAAATTTAGCTGATAAAATGTTGATGATGACTAACACTATTATATAAATTTCAAAACACGTAGTTCTCAGGAGTCATCAGTGTGATTTGATAGGGAGAAAAGTTAGTGAATAAGCATTTATATTATCATGGGTGATCACACGATATTCAGACTCCATGTCACAACTAATGAGTATGTCTGATATCTTATTGAGTTAAAAAAAAAGGGGGGCGGATTGTTAGTGTAATATATCATCCGTCTGTCTCCACTGTTAAACTATACAGCTCATATTGAATACTTTTAAATGAAAACAGAGACATTTTTTTTATCAGTTTTTCCATTAATTACAATGATGTATTCTTCAATGCAATAAAATAAACAGAAGGATGGTTGGTTTCCTTCACAGATTCTAGGTTAACAATATATTAGATATATAGATTTGAATGTTTTTTCTAAATCTACAAGCTTGTACACACATTTTAGCATTTGTTTTACACTAACCTCTTTAGTTTATATCAAAGGGTGATCAATAATTCAGAGGCCATGATGGCTGAGTGGTTGAGGTGTCTGACCATTTTTATCACTAGCGCAAGTTTGAGGCCTATGTTGGGGCAGTCGCCAGGTACTGGCAGCAGGGCAGAGGTTTGGGAACTCTGGCTTTCCTCCACTACCCAAACCTGGCACGTCCTTAACCGGCCATGGCTGAAACAAGATGTAAAGTTTCAATAAACTAAATATATTCAATAATTTGAAAGCCTGTTTTCACACATTTCTGAATTGCTTTAAATCACATTAGGAGAGTGGTATAATATTACACCTGTTTCTGTGTATCTGTTGTCTAGTCTATGAATACCTGAGCTAATCTTGTTCAAATATGATCTCAACAGCTAGTTTGGTTACCTTCATTATCAATATTGGTTTATCTGTTCATTGGGAGATATACACATAACACCCACTAAAACTAATTTTTGTATACATTATAATATTTGTTTGGACAATTTAAAGGTTACATGAGGTCATCAACTGCTTACAGTACAATTGAAATCAGATTGATCCTGAACAAAGTTTCTTTCAAAGAGTGCAATGGAAAGAATTTTTCATAAAACGAACACAGAACAGATGATGTATGCTTAAGATAAGACCATGCTTTGTTTTCAAATGGTTACAGTTTCCATTTTCATTAACAAATATTGACTTAAAATGTTCACACAGATTGTTTCTTTTCTCCAGGATATGGATTTGTTGATTTTGAAAACCCTCAAGACGCTGCGGTGGCACTGAAAAATCTACAGGCACAAAATATGCAAGTTCAGATGGCCAAAGTAAGTAGCACTGAAGTAAGTCATTTTACACATACAAGTCTTGCTTGTCTGTAAACAGAACACATCCCAGGATTCACCTTGCTTCACCTCCAAAGGGAGACTACTCTGTTAATCTGATTGATTTGCATGAAAACAGAAAAATAATTCTTTGCACATGTCCTTGGAGACTAGAGTAAATAGCTTATACTGTTTGCAAAATCAGTTAGAGCATTATTGATGTATAAATGAACACTGCCCATGGACTGCCCAAAGAGTCATGATATTCAGCTCTTGCATGGCTTTCAGAGAGAACCAATGTTTCCACTGATTTTAAAATGGAGGTTTGTATATTTGATAACTACAAACAAAAGATTGCTCAATGAAACATATAGTCCAGATAATTTGACAGAGATAGGAAACACTTCTAAGACGATGCCAGTAAATTTAGTCTAAAACAGGTTATCTAGCATTTCACTGTGCCAGAAAAAGCTATAAGCAATATACGATATGTTTCGTTGAATGACTTGAATATGCCAAAGAATTCAAGGTGGATCAATGCAGACACAGCATCAAACATTGAAAACCTTTTATTTACCAAACTTGAATGTAAAACACAGACTTTCAACCTGACTTAAATGGCCCAGATGCAAATTAGCTAGATATTTTGCAATGGAGACACAGAAAATCAATGGCCTTAAACATATCTGTACGTCTTATTGGTTTTGTAGGCTCAGATTTTGTTTCTAAGTATTTTTGCATTTGAAATAAAGCATGAAATTTTTCCCTTTTTTTTTGAGACATTGCTATGATATAATTGTACAATTATATGATATTTTTCAACCTTTGAAATTTGACATGAAATCCCCCTAGTCTTTTCCATAAGAAAATGATCAACAAAATGCAAGTTCTTTCTTGACTCAGATTACATACTGTTAGCATGATCATGGTCATTGGAAAGCTTACTTTCGGATTGCAATTAGGGAGAAATGGCAACCACTAGAGAAGTCTATGAACATACAACATTGTGTTCCGTGCTCCAATCTAAACACCCAATTGTGTTGTAAGTACATCATCCATTAGGCCAAGAGCTACACCAGACTTATAATCAATTTGTCCTCTACAACAAGTAGTGCTCCAAAACCACATCATAAAAACACTGATTGAAGTTGAAATTAGTTTTATAAAGTAGAGAGCTGACTTGTGATCACAATATAGGTCTCTTACAATTGTTCTGATCGCACTTCTCCCCTGCCTGATAGGGTCATACAGCTGTAGATATTGTCATTGATTATGAGTTTCTAGCAAATTGTGAGCTATTGTTAGTATTATTCTCGTCTATGGTTACAAATAACATATAGAAAATTTCAATATATATATAAGTTCGGTCAATTTTAATTCAGCTATCTGGAAACTGTTTTGGTTTATTTGTTGGCTAAATATGGCACAAAGCTTTCCAAATTTAGATTGACACGGCTCAGAGAAATATACATCTGTATTGTGGCAGGTGAGATCTAGTATTGATTTCAGGTTCTTGCCACCATTTGATGCAACTAGGGATTTAATCCAAGTTATGGCTCAGGAACAACATCATTTGGAAGGCATTTGTCCTTTATAAGTACTTCATCTATTCAGTGGCAGCATTAGGGCAGTTTTCTATCCATCTTATGTGTTTTTGTCGCAATGCCAAATTCGTACATCAAATCTTATGATTGTCGCTATCGAAACACACCCAATAAGCTCCTTCATAGTAAGGATACAATTGAGTTTCTGGCAGTAGGCGAAATGAATGAGTAATGTACATCAGTCTAAAGATAGATCACTCATCTTAAAGACAGTGAGGACGGATGTTTCTTAGTCAGATATCTGTGATTTTTTAATGCACAAAGATTCTGTTTCCATGTGAAGCAAAATTAAATTAAGATATTACAAACCATTGGGAGAGATTTACAAAATCCTTGGTTATTTATCACTCAGGAATCTTATTGATGCCAAACAGTACATTCTGGTAGTTATTTTTTGTCAAGAAAGACAATAAGGACTAAGATAAAAACACTATATTAAGATTTCAAATGTTAGCTTGATGTCTAAACAAAAATCTTCTATGAGTATGTATGTTTGATTAAACACATACGAAAGAAAACAAACCCTATGTTGGCAGAGTATTGGTGCTCAGAAGATATGTAGTAACTTTTTGACAAAAAAAATCATGATTGCTGTTCATTTTTATAATTCATTCTTATTTATGTATACAATATTCGTTAGTGCAAGTTCAAGGTCATTTCTTTCGAAGTCTTGAGTACATTTTGAATGCCCAAACCACACATGGTGTCTGGTTAAAGAATCATCTTTAGAAAGTGTGAGAAATTAGGTGAGGCTGTAGAGCGACTTGTGACTAAAACATATAAATACTATGATGTCTTGTACATTTGTTATGTGATTGTTGTGTTTGATTTTGGCTAACAGGCACTTGATAACTACTTCAAATTCTCTAGGATCTTCAAGTTTCTCCTACCCAGTGACAAAACTACATATTTTCATGCTGTTTAACTTCGTAAGAGCTAGTTTTATAATTTCTAGAGATGTACAAACATTGAACATTTTTGAAGACTATTACACTGGAAATTGTTACCCTGTGCTAACAGGGCAGACCAAAAATGATCAATTGATCAAAGGAAAATCAATCTTATCATTACTAGAAACTTGACAAACAGAAATTGACCAATCAAAATTAGGGTGACTTTATCAAGGCCAACTATTGATGTTTGCCATCCTTCCAAGTGGGTTCTAGGAAAAAGTCGGCTATTTAATTGTCGTCAGACATCAGATTTTGAGAGGAGATTGAGTATCGGATAAGTACTGCCCCGATTCTGTTGGTCATGCATCAGTCAATTGTTGTATTTCTGACGTTAATAGAACGTCATATTTCCCCTGCCATAGCCTGTTGGGACAAGTGGCTTATCAATAGTAATGACTTGGAGTAAGGGAATACTTGCTGGCCAAAAAAACCCTTTCATTTTAATATTGTCTTGTCGATTTATTGTCATGGTAACAAAGCCATGCTGAGCTGGTCAGATCTCTCCAGAGTAGCCTCCAATGTACCAATACATCAGACATATTATATATATTACTACCGAGCATGCAAGGATTGTCCAACACTTGGACAATGAGAATGGCTGCCGTGATAAAACCTGTCCGAGTTTTACAGTCAAAAGTGTCTGTGTCAATGGTTCACTTTATAAACCTATGTCTGAAAGATCCACTCTCCTAGTCTTATCTTGTGTTTGCTTGTCTTTGCACTGTTGACAAAGGATCATGGATGAAAGCTTTTACTCTGTTAACTGGCTATAATCATCCCCTTTGGTCAGTCCAAGTATCCTAGCAACTGTCAACACACTTGATCCTAAGTTCATTCAATGTATAGCTAATTAAATTGTACTTCAAAGGTTGGTCACTGCATCCATTGGTCATTTGTCCAGAATAATTGGTCATTGCACCCATTGGTCATTTGTCCAGAATTATTGGTCATTGCACCCATTGGTCATTTGTCCAGAGTTTTTGGTCGTTTGTCCAGAATTATTGGTCATTGCACCTATTGGTCATTTGTCCAGAATTATTGGTCATTACACCTATTGGTCATTTGTCCAGAATTATTGGTCATTGCACCCATCGGTCATTTGTCCAGAATTATTGGTCATTGCACCCATCGGTCATTTGTCCAGAATTATTGGTCATTGCACCCATCGGTCATTTGTCCAGAATTATTGGTCATTGCACCCATCGGTCATTTGTCCAGAATTATTGGTCATTGCACCCATCGGTCATTTGTCCAGAATTATTGGTCATTGCACCCATCGGTCATTTGTCCAGAATTATTGGTTATTGCACCTATTGGTCATTTGTCCAGAATTATTGGTCATTGCACCCATCGGTCATTTGTCCAGAATTATTGGTCATTGCACTCATCGGTCATTTGTCCAGAATTATTGGTCATTGCACCCATTGGTCATTTGTCCAGAATTATTGGTTATTGCACCTATTGGTCATTTGTCCAAAATTATTGGTCATTGCACCCATCGGTCATTTGTCCAGAATTATTGGTCTTTGCACCTATTGATACTCTCACTTGACTTGAGCTTCAATTTTTTTATCCTCCACGCTTGTCAAAACATGAGAATCAAACTCATTACAAAGTTATTAAATAATTTAACTCTCTTTCTCAATAGCAGTAAATTTGTGTTAATTACTGCCCTGTAAAATTTTCACTGTTACACAGAAACGACAAATATACAGTCATAACTGAATGCGGTTTGTAAATATACGGGCACACCTTTATAGATAGGATTCAGGTTTCAGGTCAAAAACCGTTGTACGATTCACGCTTTTCTCATTTCGTTTTGTCATTAAGACCTGTAGAGTATATCGTAATTAGGTTGTAATGTTCTTTACTGTCATCTTTCCCGCTGTTTCTCGACATCATCAGTTTTCCTGTCAGACCAGTAGAGATATAGTTGTTAGGGACCTCCAGCACATACATCTACCTGACTGCTAGGTTTCTTGTATAATCTATCAAACACAGCACAGCACATTAATTACACGAATATTAGGACACATATTTGTCTCGTGTTTTCTGACCACCATCTCGCTCCATCGGGAAAACCTGACTTAAATTACAAGAAAAAATACACCCAACATGATAAGAGGTGTCTGGTTTATTATGGGCATTGCCATGAAGTGTTGCCCTTGTTTTCAAAAGTAAATCTTGATTGTATCTTCAGACTTTTAGTACAGTTACTTTTGGAAAAGAGATACAATTTCATTTCTATTTCCTGTCTGCCTTTAAAAGGGTCAATGACTATCTGTGTGCTGGTTGCCAAGGAGACCTGTCTTTAAACAACACAGTCAAGTGAACATTGATAAGATATACATTTTTTTTTAGATGTTCGGTTTTGATGAAATATACTACTTGTGCAGTGGTCTGGGATGTGTCGCCTCTGAGTGAAGAGGGCAGACAGAGAAATATTTAGACACTTTTATAATTGTGTTATGTGACTTTCAGCATAGATATGCTGGTCACTGTCTAGGTCAGCTGGGGGTGAAATACTATACTGTTGTTATGGTTACCATAAGTATTGGTTTGATTAACCAGTAGGTTTACAATATCATTTGGCATGGAAAATTTCATTGTCCAACAACTCTCAACCTTTCAAAATCATGGTCCTGTGACTTATCCAATCACCATCAACATATCATTCCTTCTTGTACAAAATATACTTACTTATCTACATAGCAAAATCATTCATTTTATGGGAGTTTTAGCTTTAGTGATTTCATGGATATTTGTTATCCATGATATGAAATGTCAACTTAATTTCCATGGAAAACAACAACATTTTGAAATATATGATATTACTGTACTCCAATACCTCCCAGGTTCATTCTTCCCCACCCCCCCCCCCCCCTCCCCTCTGCTCACCTCTTACACCCCACCCCACCCACCCCTACTTTCAACCCCCACCCTCCATCCCCCAAAATAATTACAATCAGACCACTGGGAGAAGTCTGTTGTGGTTGATGACCTGTACAAGTCGATGGATCAGCCTTGTGTGCCCTACACACCTGAAATCACTCAGTGCTACGTGTGATGATGAATCTGTTTCTAGGGATCAGTTCATAAGTAGATCAAAACATGACAAATCTTCTGTACAAGGACTATCCCATCAACATCTGTCCGTGATAAATATCATTGGCGTCATCCTATAGTGTCATTGGGAAAAAAATCAAGAGGATTTTGTTCTTGGAAGGATAGCAGATGCCTTTTTATTGCTGCAGTTTAGAACAAGTTCTGCGTTTGAAATGAAATTAGGGTTGTTTTTTTGGTTAAAGCAGTGCATGCAATTTCTTTTGGAAGTTGCGTATAAAAAAAATCAGCTTTTGAAGCATATTTAGGAAGGAAAAAGCATTCCCTAGAGGCCAATATGTTGATGTTTTATAAATGACTTGCTATGTACATCAGTAGAACCTTATCAACAGGTCAATCACTAAACCCTCAACTTTATTGAAATATTCATGAAGTAAAAATTGAAATTCTTCGACTATGCAAATCTATGATAAATACAATTTAAATCATCCTATTTGTATTCCTAGGAGTAAATTGTTATCCCTTTACACTTAAACTAGATCAGACATGTCCAGAGACGTTTTTTCATGATTTTACATATTGCCACCATCTTCAAATGATGTGAACATTTTACTTACGTGACTGTTTGTTAGAACGAAATATAAATGGTCTCCCTGGCACAAGTAACAACATCACATGCATACAACATGCAAACAGAGACTCTAATTCTGCCAATAACTGCCAAGGTTCAGTGGAATACATGCATGGACCACTTATTTCTCCCATCAGGCCATCTGAGTGACTTCTGACTGACATATCCCTACTGTAGGACTCTGAGTTACTGTCCTAATCACACTAACATCACAGGCTGTCTACCCCAGCACCAACATTTTGAAATGTGGTGCATTTTACTGGTCTGGTTCACGATTTAGAGACTTTCAAGGTAAAGTATCTCCAATTTCACTGATGTGCAGTGATAAAAATGGAGCTTTCTTTTGATATAGATATTTGAAGCTGAGAATTTTTCCCTTCCCATTTAATTCACTGTATGGTTTTGACTGTTTATTTTTTCCTTTTAGTTTAAGCAAGATGTTCCTTTGGGATTCTGATAACAGCACTTTTCAAATGAATAAGTCGACAAATTTCTTCACAAAATTACATTCTTGCCAAATTCCTAACAAGTAATCTACATGTGAATTGGATTGGTTCTTCCTTAAACCAATATTTGACCGCTTAAACACAGATTACTGTATTTATCCAGCAGCTAGCCCATGCCTGGTAATAAGCCCACCCATGTACATAGTACAACAGAATGCTCTCTTGTATTTTGAAACTTGGGGTACAGTGTAACCTGAACTATGTAGGACAAGTTATGAATTTCACCAACTTTGGGTGTATTATACCCTCTTTAAGGTATGATGGTAAACTGTAGTAAAACCCACCCCTGACTTGAATAAGAATAAATAATATATGCCCCATGTCCCCTTCCCATCAATCCCCCACTAATCCTACAACCCACAAACCCAACCCCTGGGCTTATTTCAGGATATATACAGAATATATACATTGACAGACTCACTATGCCAAGTCTCTCTCAGATTTTACCTGTATCAAGAGACCACTTTATAAACATTCATTACAGTTTTTATCATGTCAATAACTGAACCTGTAAGAAGAGACCACTTTATAAACATACATTACAGTTTTTATCATGTCAATAAATTAACCTGTAAGAAGAGACCACTTTATAAACATACTTTACAGTTTTTATCATGTCAATAAATTAACCTGTAAGAGGAGACCACTTAGTTGACTTTAAGATAGAGGTCTCTTAACCCAGGATCAACAGAATAAATACTTGGAAATCTTTCTATATTTAGTCTGTGCAGACTGCATATTTCAAATTTGATTTTCAGTGTTATATACTTTACATGACCCTTTAAATGACAAGAGGCTGACATAAAGTTTCACCTTGTGGTCTTCAGCAATGGTTTTCCATGCTCAATATATTGTTTTTTAACCAGTGTATTTTGCTCATCAAAATATAATTGCACTCAAAATCGGATTTTTTGTCATCTTGTGTCATTGTGTGAAGTTTTATTTTATTTAAATGTCATGTCCTGAAAGAATCTTAACAGGATATACATAAAAAAAATTTATGTTTAAAAAAAATCTACCTTTAACATTCCTTAAGAGACATTTTTGGTTATTTTCCTCATACGAGAATTTGCATAACAAAAAATCTTATGTAGATTTAGAAATGATGGTAGGATATCTTGCAGTTTTATTCCCCCTCTTTTGTCCTTACCTCTGTATACTAGCTCAAGCTCGAGACTGTCTGTGACTTCTATCAGGGAGATTTCCCATTCCAAGCCTTTTCATTAAATCTTTATGGCTAGAAGGCTTTGGCTGATAAGCCTCTTTTTCACTTTTATGATTTTGAAGATATGTATTCATGTGTGTAGAGAACATTTCATTGGTACAATATGGAGCGTAGGATTTTATAGGTGTTTCGTAGAAGTAAAGTGTGAGGTTTATATCCAAAAAGCATATAAAAGTGACTCCCATGATGCAAGTGTTGTAACAGCGAGGAGTAGATCAAAGGTGTTTAGCGATTTTGTTGAAAAGTGATTAAATTTTACAGTGTTAAATGCTCTTCACATAGTGACGTCTTGGAAAACTTAAAATAGCTGTCGAGATCAAGCTGATTTAAACTCACCATCAGAACGAGATTGTTATGTCGAGAAATGAGAAAATTTAATCGAAAGTCAGCGGTGACATGAGAAGTTAATATTTCACAGTATGTTGTTTAAAAGATTGCACCAATTTGACATTTCTAATTAATTAAATTGAGATTTTTTAACTCTCAGGAATATTTTTTTGAAACTCTGAACTAGCCTTTCACCTTCTAAACAATTATGAAATGGGGAAAAAAAAGACAGCATTTTTAATCAGCAGTAATTGGTGTACTGAAGTCCTGAAATGGCCACATACATATCTGACCTAATGAAATGAACTCATATCAGCTGTGAATGATATTTAATGACTGTAGTCTATGGTTGTCAACAAAAACCTCATAACACTTCAAAAAAAAAATTAAAATCTGTAGAGGTAAAAAGATTATTATGTTCCAGTCTCACAAAATTGTTTTGTAAACTTGAATATCTGTGCTTAAAATTTTCCATGTGAGGCAATACAGAATTCTGGTACTATTCAGAAAGAATTAATACTTTCCAATGAGTAGTGTTATGTAAAAGAACTTCTTTAAGCTAAGGAAAATTCAAATGTCTTTAACATTTATTCCAAAAATACTGATAAATATTTGTCATTTTTAATTCTGTTCACATTTAACAAGAACAATTTTTTTGCATTGGAATAAAATATTTTTGAGACTCGGTAGAATGAACTGTTTATCAAATAGTAGAAAACACAGTAAAATGTAGCCCGATTTTAAGAAGACACAAACATGTTTATTATCTATTGAGTATATGAGAATTATAAACTTACCATTTATTTTTTTGTGTCATTACAGCAACAGGAACAAGATCCCACCAATCTGTATATCTCCAACCTTCCACTGTGTTACACGGAGACAAACTTAGAAAACATGTTCAAGGATTTCGGAACTGTCATCTCCACACGAATCCTGCGCAAAACTGGAGACAACACAAGCCGAGGTGTTGGTTTTACACGCATGGAGAACAAGGAAAAATGTCAACAAATTATTGACCATTTTAACGGAAAAGTTCTGCCAGGTATAAAACATATTCTAGTTTATGCCTTAGATTACGTATAGTACATGTCATAATTGTAAATATGTATTCATACTAATTGTACATTCATTATACCGCATGTATGGTATAATGCAATGTAAAATATTACCAAAAATTGAAAACACAATAAAAATTGGATTTTGCCCAAAAAAGGATATGAAAGTATTCCATTTAGCTTTTACTGACCCATCTTTTCCCATCTACCAAAAAGAGTTTTTAAAATTACATTTTTGGGGGTTTCTTAAAAAAATCCCAAAATGTAATAGAGTTCGTCTCAAGTTGCCTTGTGATACTTTTATCTCCAGGAAAGTATGTATTATAATTGGGTTTGACTCCAACAGTGCCATCCAAGCTTACAATCCCATTATTTTAAAGTACATAGGTAGACTTGCCTTGTTTTAATTTCTCATTGCTGGATTTCACAAGACATTTGCACAAAAAATTCCAAGCTAGATACTCGGTGCTTGAGGCTTGAGACTCGTGCTGGCCGTACTTTTGAAGTAATCAAATCGTACAGGTGACTCCGATCATCATGGCAGTAATACAGCCATACATATTTAATCCAGCAATCAGAGACAGTATAGGACAAAACAATTAGAAACAGTTGTAGCGATGGCAGGACATTGTTTGTGCCTACATATCTTGTTAGAATGTACTTCCATCAACCCTCTGTTTTTCTGAGGTTTCCCTGCGTGATGAACTCCTACAATATCTGTAGAATATTGTTTAATACAATGCTATGAAACTACACACAATCTTCATTTGTATGGCATGAATGTTTAATTAGTCTTTACTCAGAAAAGGTTTGAAGTTCTTGACTTCTGAATATTGGACACATTGCACTTGATTGTTACTGGATTTTAAGATAGCTTTCCTTTACAACCAATCAACAGATTCTCACTTATATGAGAACCATTTTTGTTTGTTTGTTTTTGTTTTTTTGGGGTTTTTTTTTATCTGTTTAGTGTACAGTGTGTGAATTTCGTCATTTGTAACTTTAATAAAGAAAAAATCTTGTAAAGTACATAATATTAAACCATGTTGAACTTCCTGGTAATTTTGAAGTTTAAATACATAATATGAAACTGAAGCAACATTTGTAGATATTTGCTTCTAAAAATGAAGATTTCCATTTAGTATGAATTGATACAATGAAAGTGAAAGTAAATTGGACAATTATTTTCAAGTGGAAAATAGAATGAATATATATATTTTTTTTTACTACAGTTTTTTATGTTTGCATGCTATGTAATGTAAATGGAAAGTGAAAGTAAAAATGGTTATTTCTTTTCAGGCTGTACATTACCTCTCCTTGTGAAGTTTGCTGATGGTGGTAATAAAAAGAAAAATACACAGATCCAACAGAAAATCTGGCCAGAAAGGGAAGGGGTATGTCTTCTCCTTAATCATAAAATTATGCAAGTTACCAGATTGGTATGAATGTTTGAACTTTATGTATCAAGGGAGACAACTCTTACAATGAATTTTACTTTCATTTCAGTTATTCCCACTGGCATCGTATGACCAAGCAGCTTTTGCTCAAAATGGGTAAGTAAAGGATCTATATCAGTGTTTTACACAAAACAATTTGTACTGCTACAATCTTGAAATGTTTGAAAGACTTTAATGATTTTTTTAGCAGAGCTGTTTTTGTTTACCTGTTTGACCAGTTGGATTGGGTTTGTTTGTTTATTAGATAAGAGCAGACCTACTGACCTTATTTTGTTTTGTGATGAGTTTCAGCTAAGCAATTTTGGAGCCTGTATTGATATTTTCAAGTCCATCCCAAATTTTGCCTGAAATATTACATTTAAAATGCCAAAGAACCAGTTTGTTCACATCAATGCTAATATCACTTGGACATGATATTATGATAATTTTTTTTGCAATTCTGAACTGATCATTTTACATCAACAGGCTTACTAGATAAATTATCATGATAAAAAGTAGTACTTTTTCTTTTATAGTAAAACAGACACCCATGTTAGGAAAACTTTAAGAATGTATTCATGTCCTATATATTAAATCTGCTTTGATTTTTATCACAATTAGATTTTTACCTTTACATAACACTTGTTTTCAGAGTGGCCCAGGCCTTGATGGCAGCCCCACAAGGGATCCTTCCCCGCTACGCAATGTCAACACCTCAGACTACCTATCAAGTGCAGTCGTCCCCTGCCTGGGGCATGCCTCCCGGTGGATATATTATGCAGCCTCATATGCCAGCAGTAAGCCCACTTTCCTATTATGCGGGCCAGTCCGGTATCGTAGACCCCAACCCCTAAACATGGGCAAATTATTATTACAAACGAAGGTCTTTTAAAATGACATTGAAATTTTTTTAATTCAGAAACTTTTTTTCACAAATTGTCTTCAATTTTCAGCTTTAGAAAATTTTACATTGTTTGGTTTATTCCATTTCTAAATTTTTTTCAGTTTCTTTGAAATAATATTTTCAGTTATAATTACAAACTGATGTTCTTCCTCTAATTTGCGTTTTGCTGAAATCAGTTTATCCTGTAATACCTATTTCACTGCTGCATGTTGAAAGGAAACAAAGGGAAACAACTCCAAGCGACACTAACATCAAGCCGTGTGGCAGTGAGAGTGTGTTAATTAAGGACCACGTTGTCGTGGGAACACAGACGATTGTGTGCACATGTATGTGGTGATTAGAAAATTGACATTTTTTTGTTACACTTTCCAAAAGTGCACTTCACACATGTTAACCAATGGTAATCGGTTCCAGTTTTTTTTTTTTAATAATTTGTGTTCCTTCAACTAAAATCACACAAGTTGAAACAGGCATCACTTCATAATTGACACCATAATTTTTAAAAAGTGTCCAAATTTTTCATTTCTCTTTGTTTATCTATTGTGTGTCAATTTTAATTTATTTTTTTTTTTTTTTCTTTTAAAATTTTTGTGCATATACTATATATGAAATCCTGATCAAAATTTGACAAATTATAACAAAGTGCTATTGGTGCAGGGGTGGTGCTGTGCCCAGTAGACATGGTTGCTAAAAGGGGCACACCAGATGGTGTAACAGTGTTAACTACACCAATCTCTTGTAGATAAATTCATCTTTTTTCCTTCCTTTCATTATTTTTATGTCCTGTACATATTTTTTTTCTGATTAAGGTGAATCATTGTATTTTTTGATGCTATGCTTTTATTTGTACAAGAGATAGGTAAAAGCGTTGCCATAGTAACCATGGACATGTCTGCCTTTTCAAGAGCTCTGGTAATCTGTGTATTTCCCATACAGCAACCTTTAACCTATCTACCCTCACGTAGAAAACTGTTTTGGAAGACAAAATCTATGGCCAATAAGTTTGACATGTATATGTCATAATACAACAAAATGTGGACACTTTCTTGACTAATTTTGTTTGCCGTGTTTGACCTTGATGGAACTCATGACCTTGGGATTCTGCATTGGGTGTATATACACTAACAGAATTATTTGCTACGAGGCGACGCTGATGTTTCCACTTCCTGTCACTAACTCACGGATGGATTTTTTTGCCCTCGGTTTGGACACATGCTAACAACAAGGTTGAGCGGAAATTAAACAGGACCTCTACTCTGCCTTTCTGGATTGGATTTGCAAATTCTCATTTCAGATGCTTCCCCAAACCATGAATTCTGGACCACCTGGAGTTGACCCACAAGGGGTGGTCCCTAACCTCTCCGCTCAGATGGGACAGATGCAGATTACGCAGGGCTCGGTAGGCCATGGTCCACTATAGCACGCTAACACCAACCAATCACCTCAAGCTTAGTAGTGTTGTTGTCATGTGATAGTCACATGCTCTAATTGTTGATAATGGCTGCCTTACTGCTAGGCTGTGAGTTGTGCGGTTTGATAGAGAATGGTCAACATTTTCACATCTAGTTTTGTTTAAAATGAAGCTTGATAGACTATTGTTAACTGCAATGTTTTTTTTAATTATCATTTTTTTTTTATCATAGATCCATTTTTTTAGTTCTAGATATTTCACTGCTGTGTTTTACCATGGTGTCAATCAGCTTTATAGTTTACATTTGTTGCTATAGCAACTATTATTTATGCAACTGTTGCTACAGATTTTTTTTTACAGATATCCCATTCGCATATTTGTTTTAATTATCACAAAAGATTTTAAAATGTCTATATTTCAAACAATTCAATAAAGTAGAGAGTTTGTTTACTTGAATGGCTCTGATCCTATAAGGCTGGTTTGTCACTGTGTCACTCCACTCATTCAAAGAGTTCAGGAGATCCATGTCCCGCATGTTTATCAGAGTCAGTGGTGTGTTTGAGTTTTATGTGATGTAAGAACAATGGAGCACTTATTCATTATCTTCCCAAATCTTGATATAGTTATACAAACAAGATAAATACATACATACTATAGGGCTGACAGATACTGTTCGAATGAGCCTCAGGATTACAGAAATATTGTAGTGTTGTCATGAATTTACACACTGAATGGTTCGTACAATATGACTGTACTTTCTATCTAGAAAGTGAAAGAAGAGGATTGTGCTTTTTAGATGGAAAACAAAATTAGAAGATTGCACTTTCTATATAGAAAGTGAAAGTAGGGGATTTTGAATTTTGATTAGAATTGTGTTCCTAATGTTCGACATGCATATAGGCAGTTAGGCAATGAAAAGAAAGAAGAGATTGCTTTACGTTATGCAAGACATGTTTATATTTAGAAACTTCATTGGTGTCAGGAACTTGAGATTTTAAGTACTGAAGTTTCAGAGAAATTTGAATGGAAAAGGGTTGGTGTTAGAATTAGTTGGAGGTACACCAGTGTGACAAGTAAATTGTAAATAGTGTATATAGTTTATCACCTAACATTCATTTAGAAATTAGTTTTACACAACAGCTCTGTTTACATGTTATTTTCATATATTCATCCTATTTTACCATATTTCTGAAACCTTAATAGGTCAATCCCTTATATAAAATCCTCGTCTCTTTTCAACTTCACACCAGCCAACTTGTAGTTCATGACTTAGATATTCAGTAACGAAAAGAAAACTCCTTTTGGTATTTGTTCAGTATCCAATACACCAAACACAAAATTTTCATTCATAACGTATATGCATTATATTCTAAAATCCACATTTCTAACAGAGTTAAAATTTTCGATATAGAAAATATGTAAACTAAACTTTCAGTATTCCGTGTGTCATACTATATAGCTATACTTTTGCAGTATAATTTTTAGGTATAATTTTTGCAGTATAAATTTTAGGTATAATTTTTGCAGTATAATTTTTAGGTTTAATTTTGCAGTATAATTTTTTAAAAACACCTTCTCTAGTCAGTGTTTGATAGTTCAGCAGTAAATTAACATTATCTAGATGAAACATAACAACATAACGTCGTTTGGAAATAAGCACATTTTATCCAAAATATATATATTCTTGGTTTAAACATATTTAGCAATAAGTAAATCTGTTTGGAAATTAACATATTGGCATTAACCTGTATCCTTTAGAAATGTGTGTACATTCTTTATATGTATTTTGTAGGATATGTTAATCTGAAGTTTTAAAATCTACAAAACACACTCTCAGGGCGTAATTACATTCATGAAATTTTTGCAATAATAGAATATTGACTAGACAGCAAATCCTATTATTATTACACCAAAACTATATACCATGTGTAAATTGTAAAGAAACTATTATATATACCCTGTATAAAGAATAAGAAATCTTGGGATGAGCTGGGATATAGCCTGAATATACTCCGTTGACTCTCTTAAAACTTTAACTGCTCAACTATCCAAATTTAAAAAAAAAAAATGTTCATTTTTTAAAACATTAAAATGAGTATAGCTATAAAAATCATAGAATCATATACGCAGTGCTAAAATATAGAGATGTTTATTTGTTTACTATTTCTCAAGCTGCCAAATTGTTCTGGGGTAACCTAGTATATATACAAGTAGGTCTATAACCATATAACCCGCCCCCAAATATATCAAAATCAGAACATGGTATTCAACACTCGTTAATGTAGCAATGAGATAATAAATATACACATAGACAGGTTTAGCTTAGAGCAGACATAAAATATTTCTATCCCAAATATTGATAAAATTCTTCAGAGAATTGTTTGGAATGTTGGAAAGTTATGCTGAATGTTTCTTCTTTTTCTTTTGTTAAAAGTTATAGGCAATTTATATGGCTGTTATTAAGCATTGTTGCTTGGAGGGACACATTGTAAGATTTTACAAAACATACCTGGTATAATTATTCTTGTAGTAGTTTGTTTCATAACTTAGTATCCATGGTAACCAGTTTGTTCACTTTTTTCGTGTTTTGTCTTGGCCAGTCAAAAGGTTTGACTGAAGTACTCCAAACATCAATGTGATCCTGACTGAAGTACTCCCAAACATCACGGTGATCCTGATGTGCACCACTACCTCAGTATCAGATCTGTGTTATGATGAAGTGTACCATCCGTTTCAATTTCTTACATGTGTTTTTGTTTGTTTTATATTTTTTTTTTTTCCTTTTTAAACTCAACTATCATAACCATTAATGCATATTATTTTATAAACAATTATTTAAATAATTAATAAACACCTTGAAATCAGAGGGGGAAATTCCAGTTTTATATATAAAATGTTTCCAGATATGTATATATGAACCTTGTAGTTTTTACAGTTATTTTTGGTACAATATACCATTATCATTGGATGTGAAGTAGATCATCAATGAAGCATTTCAACTGGTGCTAAAAACATTATTGAGTAGATCTTGGCCCATTGTTCAAAGCCTGGTACCATGTAACTTGTTCAAAATGAATTTTTTCCAAACTCTATTATCTTCAGTGTTTCTTTCTAAAACGGACCATGTTGAATCCACAAGCGGTCAGCTTTAATTGAATATATGACCAGATGAAATTTGAAGAAAACTATCGCAGTGTAAAGTTGCGCAGCTTTGAACCTGTGGGTCTGTGTATAAAGAGAATGTATTTTATAGAATATAATCCATACACTGTCAGGTAGATTTTTTATACAAAATGTTTTAAAGTGAACTACGACATATATATATAGAAGCGAGTCCTTTAAAAAAAAGATACCACATACATAGCAATTTTTGTACTTTTTTATTGTTTGTTAAACTTTTTGATATTCTCCCTGTCTCTTGCCAATATTCAGTTTACCCATAGACAGGTTCTTATTGTTCAATTGAACTATTGACCCTTACATCTATGAATATTCATAACGGACATGTCTTACTTTGTATATATTCAGCAGTACAGGTGTGTTGTGACTGGCTAAGCTGAAAGGGTTTTGTTTTATTTCCAAGTACTCAATTTTTTTTTTTTTTTTTTTGTGAAGAAAGAAATCGGCAGGAATGCTGGAGTATAAATCTTGAATGGCAATATTAAGTATAAGTGGGTCCAAAAGATAATATATTAGTGTATAGTAATTATTATCTCTGTGTAGTAGCATATATCCGTTAAAATTTAAATTTGGAATACTGTAAGATGAAAAAAGCCAAATCGCAAAAAACATATTTTAGTATTTATTAAGATTAGTATTTATTGATAACTTCGCTGTCCATCTTGGCAGATTCTCCCGTCAGGCTAATTTACATATCTTGTTTTCTGTTTAAAAACATCTCCTAGCCTATGACATGCACATGTAACATATAAACAACACAAACATATAAACAGCGATAGGAGTAAGTATCCTTTTTAGATTCTCTTTATGATATAAGGTTAATTTACAAACCTTATCAATTCTCTGTTCGGTGCCTCTTGAAGTGATAACCAGTATTCTTCGACGTTTCTCAAGTGTTAGGCAATGTCTGCAGGTATAGAAAAAAAGGAACATTGTAAGTGACAAAATACATTGAGGCACACACCAAAGTGATACTCGTATATGGCGTTTTTGAATTTTTTTTTTTTTTTTTTTTTATTTTCCTTCATTATTGACATTTTTAACATGATCAGCAATAATTTTTTATTGAAAATTTCTATCTTTACTATTCTACAACAAAAACCTATGTATGTATATAGTGTGGTGTTGTCATGTGACGGTGGTGTCGAAGGATGCTTTTCCGTTTTAAATGTAACTTGTAATCGTCGTAGATTTTTTTTATTGTTAGACACGTCTTATAGGTGTAAGGAAACATTATGTTAGAAAATGGAGCTTTAAAATTTAAATTTAAAGATTTTCAAGATTTTGTTCAATTACAGAAAGTCACACTGGGATTATATAGAATCATTTTGAGTTTAAATATTTCTGCAGTATGATACTTGAAGAAAACACTGGTTACCTGTAGTATTTACTATTCATCGGTAAATCTAAGTGATGTTTTACAATAACAATTTGTAGAAAATTGGGTAAAATCTTATTTAGAAGAAACTTCAAAATATTGCATATAACTTTATTGTGACTTTTTTGATGGAATCATTTTGATCTTTTATAAAAAGAAAGTTTTGGTGGTGGGCACTTCTAATGATTTTGTACATACCGGTATACACACATTATGACACAGTCTGTAGCCATCACAACGGCTGCTGTTAAGTCTGTGACTCGCCTTGTAGCCTCATCCTCATCCACATGTGAAATATGCTTTATTTTTTAGATAGAAATGATAACATTTTCACCATTTTTCAAAGAAATTTTGTTTTATTTTTACACAACTGCATCGAGATTACATATTGCAGTCTTGATATTGAGTATTTGTTTCTTTACAGTTTTTTTAACTGTAACCTATGTGCTGTTGATAAGTTGTTGGCAAATGACGTTTTAGTATGAATGGAATCACGGGAATAAAAGTCATTTGTTCTAGAAAGATTTCTTTTGTTTTTTATGAGATCAGGAAACTTGACTGACAGACACCTGACAGAGAAAGGGCTTCTTATTCTTCGTAACTGATGATAAAATGGAAATAACATATGTAGATTAAACAGAAAAAGTGATATGCTATTTCATTCAAACTGATATCTGATTTGAATCGGGTTTCTGAAAAAGCCTTCTTTGTGGAAAAATCCCATTACCCTCTCCACCCTCTTTCTGGGCAGTGTATTTTTGCTTGTGGTTAGTTTAAGAGGCAGATATGTTTCTAATTTCTGTACAAAATTTAAGTCACCTTCAATCAGAATATTGACCTTCAATGTAATGTTTGACCTTTGACATCACTTATATCATTTACATTAGTCAAGAAATTTTCAATTAGCTGACATGTTAACCTACTGACAGAAGTTAGACAGTGGAAAGATGAAAAATCAAATTCAAGTTCTGCATGTGGAAGAATATAGGAAAGTCATGAGTCTACAGAGGACATCTGAAGGTCATCAGAAGATAAAAAAAATATCAAGAACTCAACTGAAAATCATGGAATATCGAAGTATCAGGCATGCGTAATATCACCAACAAGACCAGAATGAACCACATTCCAACGTAACCTTGACTTTGAAGATCACATTGGAAGGAAATATGGATCTCCATGGTAACAACTTGGTGGTTTTTGGTTTTATTTCCATAATCAGCTTTGTGACTAGTATCCGAGTGTATATTTAATCTACTCCATTAGAGGGCTCCACTGTGCATGGTATTCTTATTGCTTTCATCTGTATCGCCAAAAAGCTTTATTTCCAGGTTTTTACAAATTTGTACTCCAACTTCACCATGTATATACTGGTTGATGCTCTTCATATTACAAGCTTATTTCTGAATTGGATGTGCATTTTTTCATCTTAATACACATGTATTCAGTGTTCATATATTTGATGAAAAAAAACTAACCTTTTTGCTTACAAGAAACAATTACTTAAAGCGTTTGTTTCTATGTTTTGAAATATTATAGATTTTCTCATCTGTTAAATTTAATTGAAAGTTGATAAGACAAGCTCCAATTAAAAAAAAGGAAATATCTTTTATTTCCGGGCAGAAATCAGCTAAGTAATTGGAGAAAAAATATATGTACAATATGTATACATGTATATATGCATACAAGAATTTCAATCCACTTTTTGTGTATAAGATATATATATATATATACCTGTATATTCAATAGGCGTTTTATTCCACATGATTAACATCACTGTATATACATATATATATATAAATTTGTTATATGACTTTTGAAACATTCAAGTTTAAAAAGAAATACCGTATGCATGAAAGCCATGTTGTTTTGATGTACACAATTTTGTCATGGCGTCTGATGTTACGAACATGACTAATGAAATCAATGGTATTTTTAAATAATTTTTTTTTTTTTTGAAAGTTTGAAGGTCATATAATAAAATATTTACTGGCTTTCTGTGGTGAATATGAAATAATATATATATATAGACCAACCACAATTTTACTAAACTAAATTACAAGACCATATTCACCACAAAGAAAGTCCTTGTTTGTTATACATTAACATATATATATTTATATACATCTGAAATCTATTTGTTTACTGCTTTAGCACCACATATATACATATATACTGTGTATTTAGTTTGTGAGTGTCTTTACTAATGATTAGAAGTATATATATTCAGGCACTATATGTAGCGAGTTTTTGTTCATACCCAGGTGCCTTACAAATATTGTATACTGGAAGACACCCTATAAAAACACATACCTTGACTCAAGCTTGTACCATTTTCAAGTAAAGGAAGCTATTCAGCACAAAACCTTTTTTTATTATATTCCTAAAATTAAAATTTAAAATGTATTCAACAAAAATGGTACATGTGTTATTTTAAGGTATATGTTAAATCATTTTATAACCATTTTTCTTCCTGTGTGAGATAATTTGTTTTTCAAAAATATATATTTTATACCTTTCCATTCCCTCAGGTTGTCTTGGACCATTCCATCCATTGTTAAGGAATGGTCCATGTCAGTCTGTGGGGTTGATAGTCTGCATGAGAAGTTTGAGGTGATTGGCTGAGGAGAAACAAAATTTTACATGTATGAAAAATTATATGACACTTATTTACTCAGAATGATGAATGGTTCATGCATTGACCTTTGTATACTTTTGAAATGCTGTATATTTCTGTAATATATCTGTAAGCTCAAATCTGTTACCAAGACAACATTTCTTTATCATGTACATATGAGGTTTTTATTTAATTCATCTGAATATTAGATATGAAATTTGATTATAAAGTAATATATTATATACTAACAGGATTTGTCAGTTTTATATGATGTGTTGTAACCATGCTAACTATACTCCAAGGATATTACCAACAGAACCCTTATATTCCAGCAAATGGCTGTCGAATAGACCCTGACCTTTGACCTTGTAACCCTAGAACCTACTCCTAATTCTGTTATGTTCTGTTACTGAAATAGTCTCTGTCTAGATATGTAGTTTGGGGGTCAGAATCAAGGCATATGGGACAGTCTACGTCATTATGATATGTGATCTACCGTTCAGATATCTTAATTACAAAATTACAAAATATATATACACATTATGTATTCTGTTTGGATGCTGCCACAGTTATGAAAGTGAACACAATGTGAACATCGTTAAAATAAATACTCCTTTTTACATTAAAAATACAGCACCTAAGATATTCTGACCAAACTAGATCCATTTCTGACTTTAATGTATTCATATGTTATATGTTTCTATAAATAACTAAATGGGTGATCAGTCAAATTTCAACTATTTGAATATTTTCATTCCTATTTCTGAAGACTTTCATTTCATTGTTATGAATCATATATTGCATGATGTATCCAATATTTGTTTACAACCTATATATACACATATATATTATTCTGTTCCCCTTACAGTCTATGCTTAATCACTGCATATGTAGGACTTCATCATATATATGGTTATTTATCAATAATTCATGCTTGATTGAATCCCGATGATAATATATAGGTATCATATGACCTGATAAATAACTGTCTGATCAAAATAAATAGCTATAGTTTTTTGGATCTATCAATGGTGACAATGATGTGATCAGAATTCCAGGATGATGATGTTGATTTCTCTTGACAGTTTGTGGCGGGTCATCCAGCAGCCTCTGCAGCGGCGTTCAATCAGATGTATGCTCAGCCCCCAGGGACGACTGCCATGTTACAAGCCCTGCCTTTAGAGGTAGGAATATCACACAATGTTAAAGAGAGACAAAAATTATTAATGAGAAAATAACTACCTTTCAATCTTTATATGGTGTGATCTGGTGTGATGATAGGTTTTCTTAACACTTTGTTAAATAACTTCTTCTCAAAAATGCTGATCAGATTTAAACCAAAATAAATTGTTCAGGAATGTCATTTTTGTAGCTCCATATTTTACATCACTACACAAAGATAAATATAGATATTAAATATCTCCACACTTAATATGATGCTGGTCCAATTTTCAGGACCATGATGCTTTGGACAATACCCCACACTTCCAGACCTACGCAGCCACACCTTCAAGGTAAGATCGGAGTTGTCTGCTCTTGGGTGATTTACAGTTTGGTTTATGTGCTGGTATTACAATCATACCTAGTCTTACAAAGGCTGTAGATTCAAATTTTCCCATTTACCACAAAAAGCTGAAGCAAAAGGATGCACTTTTCCTGTGACAATTGTTTTTCTTTATCAATTTTTATTTCCAAGTTACCTATATTTTTTTTATTTTTTATTCCATACTTGAAATAAGCAAAAATTAGCGTACCCCTCAGTAACAGAAATGCCATTTAAACCAGCTTGGAGGTTATTTATCTAGTCTAAAGATCAGTATTGGTAACATAGGCCATAGGGATTGTAACATTAGAAAAACAGAAAGCAGTGACCTGTGTTGAATATATGTAACTATGATAGTATAAACGATTTCTAACTTATCACATGTTTTGTTTTCAGTTTTACGTGATTTCATCTCGTGTGCCAACAGAATCAAACATCAGCAACCAATCAACACAATGTGAAACAGATCACCATGGTAACAACCTACGCCATCCATATTCTGTTCAAAGTTGAAGGGAGAACAAACTTATGATTCAGACAAGGATATTACAGAGAAATTGTTGCTTAACGTCGCCCATTTGGGGTTAAATTTGTGAACATATTTAAATAGGAAAACTAATTCATAATAAGTGTATTTGTGAACATTTTGAAATAGAGAAATTCAAAATAAATATTTTTTAGGGACGGTAAAAGTGTATTGTTGACTGTGAAGTGGATATTGCCGTGGTAGTATATTTATGAATTTCCCAAAGACATGAGATAATTCCATCACTACGGACATTTTGAAGGCTCACCAATGGGCAGTTACGGCACTCTCTCTAGAGGACAAATTGAAGCGGTGATTGATGCATCAAAAAAACTTGTTGAGCTTAGTGACGGTAGAATAACTTTGTCTATGCCATTGCCTAAAAGTGATCAACTGGATATTATTTTTGTTTCTTCAAAGAAATGTGATTCAAAGATGCGCCATTTTTATTAGTAATCAGTAGATAAGGACTGAGAGTTTTTTGAGTGAATGTGTTGTTTTGAAATATGTTATTTTTTAAGAACTGTCAAGTTATATTACAAAACTTTACAAGCACCTCTCTTCCAAAGCTGAGATTAATCTTTATCCTTATGGAATAGCAGCAGGACTCTCTTTGTGTAGCCACAAAACTTTTCATAGGAGTAAAATTACACCCCCCATATGAAAACCTTTTGTGACAAAGACTGTCCTTACATGTCATACTACGACTTATTTACTGTATAGTTCTGCTATCCCTGAGATATATCGGGTCAGTAGTTTTATCATGCAAGTACAGATATGTGTTTTGTTGGCGGTTTTTTTCTCCTTTAGGAAATGAAACGCCATTCTAAGGAGTTACTCAAGTTTTAAATGGTTACAGACGGTCAATTCAAAATGTGTTTAATTTAATTTTTAACAGTTGGTGATCTTTTTTCGCAAATTAAGCATTAGTTGTTTAGCACCTTAATTAAGTATTGTTAATAACAGGACGTCATACTTTCTTGATTCCAAGTTGATTTCACCTTTAACATCAATCACTAGTTTCAGCCAAATTATATTTAAGAGAGGGAAACAGGTGATGTATTTTACACCGATATTCTTCATCCTGTTCCCAGAATAACGGACAAAATGTCCTGTTAGAAATTGACTGTGAATTACTTGTAACATCACAGAAAACTTGAGCAATTCCATCCCGTTTCCGACTGACAGCATAGGTGTTAGCGATATGTGAGCAAGAATGATATGAGCCAGGAGTCTATATATGAAATACCGGACATAGGCGCCTGATTTATTGTATTACCGGATGACAACTTGAGTGAATGATTTTTATACGACTCTTATTGATAATGTATCTACCAAGTCAACATTTTTAACTGTACATACATATGCTTCAATTGCAAATAATAATTTTTACCGTTTCTTATTTTTTTTTTTTTTTTTTTTAAGATTTTATTTTTAATTCATTTTATGATAAAATATCTTGTGGTCATATGTGATTTACTGTATGCATCCTCAAATGTTCATGAAATATTGCTAGGAAAAATGAAATGTTTTTTAATGACCTGCGCTACCTTGACAGATGTTTTAGTTTTATTTGTTTTTTTCATTTTTTTTAAACATATGATCATGTATTTTACCAGTACATGTTTAACAATCAGAAATACACTTAAAAATTCTGAAACTTAGAAGAATATTATGTCACTCTTCATTTGAAGACCAAGTGAGTCAGTGATTATCGGTTTAAATCTACTTGGGGAAATGGTATTTTGTATAAAAACAGCAAGGTTTCTGTGACTAATATTAAACAATATTCTAATATTATAAAATTGATTTATTATATAAAGTGTTATGATATCAATAAATTTTAGTAAATCTGGTTATACAAACATTCAGACATCAATTAATTTTAGTAACACCAGAATAACATCAAAACATGCTGTTCAAGGTAGCGACTAAGAAATTGTAGATAGTTTTAGTATCATTTCATTGTAGGCCACATTAGTGTTCACTCTGCACATCATTGTAAATATCATCATGTATTTGACCAATCAGATTGTTTCATCTATAATTTGGTTGCTGGGCAACAGTAAACCAACCACCGAAGCTACCTGAAATATCGTCTAGTTTGGCATTACTCTATACTTGAAATAATAGTATCGATCAAGATATTTCAAAGATTGTAAAAGTGTTGCTTAATTGCTGTTTTTTTTTTTATATATATATTTTTATTTTTTAATTTCCTTACGCCACAAAGACAGAATTTCCGGTAGCTGCGGATGCTAGTTTTCGGTATAGTGCTTCTTCAATTCATTGATAGTCTTATGTTTCATACTACATTTAGTTTAACATAAGTTTGGGGAACATTTGTCACAGCTTACCACAACATGAGAACCTAACAAGTTTATCATTGCTTACATCGTCAATAATGTTTTCATCAAAAATAGCAATTTTCCATTTTTTTTTAATTTTTTTTTTCATTTTTCTTATTTCTTTTTCCCCTTACATGTTACAATGAAGTTCACTTGTAATCGATTAAGAACAAACATGAAATATTCAGGGCAATTTATCAGAAGGCACGGGGCTATCTACATATATGTGCATATATGTAAAATGATTGACAGGGGATCCGTAAACTTGTCTTGTACTTATATGTATAAAAGTGTGTTTTTGAAACAAAAAACTATTTAACCATTAATTATCAAACGTCCAAGAATTGTCTTCCAGACTTTAAATATTATTGAAATTATACCATACCTTGCACCTACTCCTTGGCCCCTGCACATTGTTAAATATATATGTAACTTCCAACGCTATTGGTCGAAGACAAATCCTTCATTAATAACACAATATATATATATATCTACATTATGCAAAATGTCACAGAATGACTGTATGCACATTTACGGTAATCTTCAAACATACAAATTTTCTTTTCTTTAAAAGCTTAAATGTTTCTTGTTTTAAATTCTGAAATGATTTTGTTTGATATTTTGAGCTATTGGTAGAACAAAGACTGTTGGATAAGAGAGTTGTAGTGATAATATTCCATGTGGGGCTGATTGATTGACTTGTTCAAACTGATGTCGTGTTTTTAATTTAAAGTTTACCTTAAAGAGAGAATTAAGTGAATTTGAGAAATTTTTGATAAATCCTTATCAAAATTAAGTCAGATACTCCTATTGAACAAGTCATTTCGAAGTTTTGACAAAAAATACACAGTAAATCTTGTAAATGTGAAGGAGTACTTAAAACGTCTGGTTGGACATCTTTGGTTTGTTTGCAAACTTCAGTTCAACACTACAACCTACTGAAGTGAAAGCAAGATGAACATTTAACAAAATGATCACTATGAAAAACATGTCAAGCTTTTTATTTTTTTTTGACTGATTTGTCCCTTTCAGCAATCTGTTCACCACCCTTATCAACAGGTGATAGATAGTTTTAACAGTCAACGTAGAGGTCCCTTTGAGCTGCTTTTGTTTAAGTCTACACAGTCTTAAGATATAGAATTTTAAAAAGCCAGAACAAATAGCTTTTTCAGTTGATTCAGTATAATAAACGGTAATTATCAGGTTTTAAAAACCGATAACTTTGCTAACCTTTATGTAATAAAATGCAGCTTATGATTGTTTGGAGTGTATGAACCTGAAGTATGACCACACAAAACAGTGCCAGTATCACTTGTACAGACTCAATGTGCAATAATCAAAAATACTGTATAAAGATTTGTTAAGTTTCATTTTTCTTTTTGATTTTAGATTTAAGAGAATGTTCAGAAATTGTTTTTTATATAAATATATTTGCTGTACAGATTGATATTGTGTGTAGGGGAACTGTTTTAAGGCACAGGTGTGTAGAATTCTCCATTCCTATAAGAATGATGAATTTCTGTTCACTAGTAGATGTGGGATGAGGAAACCCACCTCACCAAGAATATTGTACATCGGTGAGGTCTTGCACATTGGAAATGAAAATGTGACAAACGTATGCAAGAGGCAATGTTATATTGAGGATAGATAGAACTTCTTTCTTTGTTCGTCCAAACTATCCGTGCATCTCTACTATGGGCTTCAGTTTACATGTTTTTGTCTAGTTTTTTCTTTTTTCATTTTTATACTTGAATGTCAACATTATCCTACGAAGTATACTTCTTTCCAATGCAAGTCCCGTCTTGTGTGGACCTTATCCCATTTCAGCAGGTTTTTACTATTTATCATTAAGACATCAATTTTAATTTCATCATCCTCGACAGGAAATCAATTTGATCATCCCTCTTTGTTTAAAATTACATCATTGAATCATTTTATACAGAAAACCTTCAAAAATATCAATGTTGCATGCCCATTGTTACCTTGACCCAAATGTGACCTTGCTCTTTTCCTTAAATATTGTTTGGTGTTTTGGAGTATGATAATTGCTGCCTAATTTTAAGTGCCAGCCAACCATCAATCAAATAATGACCTTTGAACCCTAGCATGTATGCCAATTAAATGTTTAGTGAGAGGTACAACATTTATTTTGGGATCAAAGGTGGCTTTACCCCCCCACCATTCATGGTCTTTTGTAAGGCTTATTGAAGCCAGGTCTGTAGTGGGGATGGAGGGGTAGGCGCCAATCATGTTAAAGGAGACTAGATGTTGAAGGTGGATATTTTTATTAAATATTCGTCATGTTGAATGTTGAATTTGAGGTGAAATGTTACATGTTGTATGAAAACAAGACCTTTTTTTCATGTGAATTGTTCAAAAATGTTATTTTTTCATCATTAGTTTTTAGTCTGTAACAGTTTAACATTGGTTATCATTGATGTCCTTGGGAAAATGTCAAATTCATGTCAATCAGCTAATTTTCTTACTCCCGTACAACCTGCGTCTCTGTTGACCAGGCCCTTGTTGTCAATAGTTACAAGTGAAGCTTGTTGCTGCGACAACTTGGCAGGAGGTATGACGTGTGTTTGTGTGATGATTTAAATGAAGCGGTAGTCTTAGATGTTCATCATTGTCATGAAAAAAAGGAAAAAAGCAAAAAATAAAATCAATGACTGTTAAAACTGCCTGGATTTGTTTTTATATACTGATTTTAATCACTTCAAATAAAAACAAACAAAACACTGAATTTATCTAGCAATAAGCCCATGTCTCATCATAAGGTCAATTGGTACATTGGTAAAACACTAGCTTCTAACCTTCAGGCTTTGGGGTTTGGTCCCAGAACAGATGTAAATAAGTAGAGGCTCATTTGTTGGACCACTTGGATTTTCTCCAGGTACTACAGGTTCTTCTTAAAGTATAGAAGACTCCATGCATGCCTCCACCGGGCCAACAAGAGTGATTAATATAGACTGGAAAAAGTTGTGTCATATAAATGACGTCATCGACAATAACCTAATCCTAGGGCGACGTAAAAAGTTGTTTTGTACTTACTAAAATAAGTTATACACAAATGCTATTCTATTGATCTGTAACAGGCCCATCCCCTGAATTTTCGAAATAATTCAAATGCTGGGCATATATAAAGATAAACACAGTTAATTGAAAAATCTGCAACCAACGTTTCAAAGTCGGTAACCTGGATAAAAGCAGCTACAGTTATCAGTCACTCTGCTACCACCATTTCTCAAATAGGATCTGCTGTTGACCAATCCCAGCTCCGAGGAGAATAGTTTCCATGGTTTCTATCATAGGGGAGGGGCCACAAATATAAACCATGGTTTTCTCCTTTCTTAGTCTCCTAAACGAATCTTGTATATCTTGGTGGTTAATTCTTCGGTCTAAAACAAAGCCATAACGTTGTATAGTTAACAGATTCATTTTATATCATATTCATCAAGTAGAAAGCTCATCAATAATTATCAACTGATTCTAGGTCTTTGTCTTTAACAACCACACTCTGAGTTTGATTTAGAAGTCTTCCACAATGATATACTAGCAACACAAAAAACGAACTACCATCCTTACTGATTCATATACAAGTCCAGAGAGTATGTCTGTTGCGGGCCGCAATCTCTGGAGACCTACAGTACCCAAAAGTTTTAACAGATATCATGATGATGATTAAAACTTTTTTGTCATGAACACTGTCATGTTAACCTTGATTTGTGATAAATTTCCATCTTATAACATAACTATAGCATATCTGTGCCAAAGGTTGCTGTATTTTATCATCCCATGAACTGCCAACAGAAATATAACAAGGTAATGAAAACTAAAAACTGGTCTAAATCCTCCAAGTCATTTAACACTACTGATTTTAGAAAGACATTGCAGTATGCCATAAGCATGCATATACAAGACGGAAACTGAAAATGATAGAAATATAAGCATTAAACTGCTCTTAGTTTTTAGTTGATATTATGAAAGCCATCTGGATAAAGGAAAATTCAACATGAAGCACAAACTCTATTGAATTTACCCTTGTCTACTTTGCATTCATATTACACGTAAATGCCAAATAAAAGTTGTTAAATGTATGTGCAGTGGAAGGCGTACACTCTAGCATGGTGACAAACAGGAATAATGCATTTTTCAAAAGACCTTGTAAATGCACCTTATAAAAATGTCTTATGAACATGAAGCTTACTTTTTACAGGCAGTGATGTTTTTTGAGTGGTTTCCCTTGTGAGGAAATACTGACAGTCAACACATGGATACTGTTCGACTGCCTCAGATAACTCTCTCTGTAAGATCAAAGTTTCAGATATATCATACGTGGTACTGTAATCTTGAAAAATAATAAAATGATTTTTTTTACTTTTTTTTTGACAAAATTTAAAAAGAAAAGTTCTTTGGCAACTTACATGATCTACCAACTTCATAAGAGTTAGCTCCCTTAAACAGTCGGACGATTGCGGATTATGCGTGAAATATTACCGTTTATATTTTGAAATTGACTGATGTCTCTTTGCACTACTACATCAACAAAACCAGAAACTACTATCAGGGCTGCAGTCTATGATATTTTTATAAACACTACCCCAGGTATCATAATGATTGGAAATTTCAACGTTTAACACTCAGCTGCCATATTGAATTGCAATATCCCTCACACTTCAAGGCACATAACCAATAACAGGCACAATGGGCCTGCATCACTCACCTGGTATTTAACATTTTCACAAATACATTTACCAATACATGTCTTAACTGAAGGACTGGTTTGAATCAAAAGCGAAGAAAACATCAATATGTTAATGTGATCATATTTCAAACACAAATTCGATAATAACAAGGATTAAGAAAGATGAGAAAGATTTATTTGGATGCTTCTGAAAAAGTACAAAGATGATAAGACCAGGTCTTCCAGAAGGGTGCAAGCCTCTTTTGCTTCATTGAAGAAATCTGTCGTCTTAATCCTAGGTCAATGCAAGTAAGTAGTCATATTCTTAAATTAAATTACACCACAATTCATCTACAACAGTGAGTCATGGCAGACTTCAATTAGTACAATTAACAGAGACAAACACTTTGAACAGGTGTTTTATGGTGCCATTTACAGAGACAAACATTTTGAACAGGTGTTTTATGGTGCCATTTACAGAGACAAACACTTTGAACAGGTGTTTTATGGTGCCATTTACAGAGACAAACACTTTGAACAGGTGTTTTATGGTGCCATTTACAGAGACAAACACTTTGAACAGGTGTTTTATGGTGCCATTTACAGAGACAAACACTTTGAACAGGTGTTTTATGGTGCCATTTACAGAGACAAACACTTTGAACAGGTGTTTTATGGTGCCATTTACAGAGACAAACACTTTGAACAGGTGTTTTATGGTGCCATTTACAGAGACAAACACTTTGAACAGGTGTTTTATGGTGCCATTTACAGAGACAAACACTTTGAACAGGTGTTTTATGGTGCCATTTACAGAGACAAACACTTTGAACAGGTGTTTTATGGTGCCATTTACAGAGACAAACACTTTGAACAGGTGTTTTATGGTGCCATTTACAGAGACCAACACTTTGAACAGGTGTTGTTTTATGGTGCCATTTACAGAGACAAACACTTTGAACAGGTGTTTTATGGTGCCATTTACAGAGACAAACACTTTGAACAGGTGTGGTGCCATTTACATGGTGCCATTTACAGAGACAAACACTTTGAACAGGTGTTGTAGGGTGCCATTTACAGAGACAAACACTTTGAACAGGTGTTTTATGGTGCCATTTACAGAGACAAACACTTTGAACAGGTGTTTTATGGTGCCATTTACAGAGACAAACACTTTGAACAGGTGTTTTATGGTGCCATTTACAGAGACAAACACTTTGAACAGGTGTTTTATGGTGCCATTTACAGAGACAAACACTTTGAACAGGTGTTTTATGGTGCCATTTACAGAGACAAACACTTTGAACAGGTGTTTTATGGTGCCATTTACAGAGACAAACACTTTGAACAGGTGTTTTATGGTGCCATTTACAGAGACAAACACTTTGAACATGTGTTTTATGGTGCCATTTACAGAGACAAACACTTTGAACAGGTGTTTTATGGTGCCATTTACAGAGACAAACACTTTGAACAGGTGTTTTATGGTGCCATTTACAGAGACAAACACTTTGAACAGGTGTTTTATGGTGCCATTTACAGAGACAAACATATTGAACAGATGTTTTATGGTGCCATTTACAGAGACAAACACTTTGAACAGGTGTTTTATGGTGCCATTTACAGAGACAAACACTTTGAACAGGTGTTTTATGGTGCCATTTACAGAGACAAACACTTTGAACAGGTGTTTTATGGTGCCATTTACAGAGACAAACACTTTGAACAGGTGTTGTAGGGTGCCATTTACAGAGACAAACACTTTGAACAGGTGTTTTATGGTGCCATTTACAGAGACAAACACTTTGAACAGGTGTTTTATGGCCATTTGCAAACATTTACAGAGACAAACACTTTGAACAGGTGTTTTATGGTGCCATTTACAGAGACAAACACTTTGAACAGGTGTTTTATGGTGCCATTTACAGAGACAAACACTTTGAACAGGTGTTTTATGGTGCCATTTACAGAGACAAACATTTTGAACAGGTGTTTTATGGTGCCATTTACAGAGACAAACACTTTGAACAGGTGTTTTATGGTGCAAACATTGAACAGGTGTTTTATGGTGCCATTTACAGAGACAAACACTTTGAACAGGTGTTTTATGGTGCCATTTACAGAGACAAACACTTTGAACAGGTGTTTTATGGTGCCATTTACAGAGACAAACATTTTGAACAGGTGTTTTATGGTGCCATTTACAGAGACAAACACTTTGAACAGGTGTTTTATGGTGCCATTTACAGAGACAAACACTTTGAACAGGTGTTTTATGGTGCCATTTACAGAGACAAACACTTTGAACAGGTGTTTTAGTGCCATTTACAGAGACAAACACTTTGAACAGGTGTTGCCATGGTTTACAGAGACAAACACTTTGAACAGGTGTTTTATGGTGCCATTTACAGAGACAAACACTTTGAACAGGTGTTTTATGGTGCCATTTTTTACAGAGACAAACATTTTTTGCCATTTACAGTGCAAACACTTTGAATTTACAGAGACAAACACTTTGAACAGGTGTTTTATGGTGCCATTTACAGAGACAAACACTTTGAACAGGTGTTTTATGGTGCCATTTACAGAGACAAACACTTTGAACAACACTGTTTTATGGTGCCATTTACAAAGACAAACATTTTGAACAGGTGTTTTATGGTGCCATTTACAGAGACAAACACTTTGAACAGGTGTTTTATGGTGCCATTTACAGAGACAAACACTTTGAACAGGTGTTTTATGGTGCCATTTACAGAGACAAACACATTGAACAGGTGTTTTATGGTGCCATTTACAGAGACAAACACTTTGAACAGGTGTTTTATGGTGCCATTTACAGAGACAAACAATTTGAACAGGTGTTTTATGGTGCCATTTACAGAGACAAACACTTTGAACAGGTGTTTTATGGTGCCATTTACAGAGACAAACACTTTGAACAGGTGTTTTATGGTGCCATTTACAGAGACAAACATTTTGAACAAGTGTTTTATGGTGCCATTTACAGAGACAAACACTTTGAACAGGTGTTGTAGGGTGCCATTTACAGAGACAAACACTTTGAACAGGTGTTTTATGGTGCCATTTACAAAGACAAACATTTTGAACAGGTGTTTTATGGTGCCATTTACAGAGACAAACACTTTGAACAGGTGTTTTATGGTGCCATTTACAGAGACAAACACTTTGAACAGGTGTTTTATGGTGCCATTTACAGAGACAAACACATTGAACAGGTGTTTTATGGTGCCATTTACAGAGACAAACACTTTGAACAGGTGTTTTACGGTGCCATTTACAGAGACAAACACATTGAACAGGTGTTTTATGGTGCCATTTACAGAGACAAACACTTTGAACAGGTGTTTTATGGTGCCATTTACAGAGACAAACACTTTGAACAGGTGTTTTATGGTGCCATTTACAGAGACAAACATTTTGAACAAGTGTTTTATGGTGCCATTTACAGAGACAAACACTTTGAACAGGTGTTTTATGGTGCCATTTACAGAGACAAACACTTTGAACAGGTGTTTTATGGTGCAAAGTTACAAGTAATTCTACAGTCAAAAAAGACAAAGTCTTTAGGTATTACAACAATTTTGACCCCACTGACTCAAATACAAGTAAAGAAAATTTTTTCCTACATTTTGCAGCACGTAAGCCATCAATTACAAGTCAAATCATATTATTCTATGACTTTTTGGTGAATCAAAAGAAGAAATAAAAGTGATATGATACGATTAAGCCCTGTGACATTTAATATGGATTAAGGTCATTTCTTCTCACATGTGAAAAGCTTCAACCTATTACCAAGTATAGTAAGCTTAATTCAACTATTAAACGGCAGTTCAGAAGAAGCCATTTAAGGAAAATTTGACTGATGACAAATGGATGACCACAGATATTTTACCACAGCAATTTGTGCCAGGTGAACTGAAGCTGATTTTAAAGATTATAACTCATTTCTTCTGGGAATCAAACATGTGTCTTTGAGCACTCATGATCTATTTCTACCAGAAAATAGACACTGACCATACCAAGTTAGAAATACCCTTGTTGCAACTTACCAGCTGATAGTGTTGTTACAGACTGTTTTCTCAGTGATATCTTCTGCTTAATCTTTAATTGTTTTAAGTTACAATTTTCATATCAGTGCATTTCAGTTGTGAATTGCATATTCGAACAAATCAATGATATGATAATGTGTTTGAAACAGAGAGATAGCCTTGAAATCATAGCAGGACTTAAAGAGTTATGTAAATGTAAAAATTTGCTTATTTCACAACAATTGGAAAACAAGCATTTACCATTATATTAATCACTCTTGTTTGTCCAGATGGAAGCACATGAGGGGTCATATTTCAGGGAGGAAACCAGAGTATTTGGAGAAAACTCACTTGGCCAGGCAGGTGACCCTATACCTTAGCATGTTCTGTTCCGGGAGTTGAACCCCCGACATCTAGGTAAATAAGTACATTGTGTATGGATATGAGAGGCAATATTGGCCAGGCAGTCAATTCTATAACTTTCCAGGATGCTGGCATATTCTAGCCATGAAGAGACAAACATTTGTATATTTATATCAAACATACATATTGTATATATATGTTTCCACTTCTTGTAAGTGTCTCTATTTGGTCTCAATCATACAAAGTGTGAAAGATTTAAGATACTCTGATTCCAAAGCTCTTCCATTAAACATGTGCTTCCATACAAACTAATTAATATTTAATACATACCTGAAATATCAGTTCATCTTCAACGCTGGCGGAATACAGCAAGCAAACTTTATTTGGTGCATGGTCGAAGTTGTCTGCCCCTGCTGTATTTTTGTCTAGTATTACAAAATTCTCTTCCTTTTTCGGTAACAGATCTGTTACATGACACAAAATACTGTACAGTGGATTGATTCCGATTCCTCCGGCCAATAGGAGAAGGTCTGGTTGTGGGTCGTCAGGTTTCGGGTCGTAGAATGTATCACCTCCTGATCGTATATTCACTTCAATACCTTCTCTGCACTGTAGACAAACAAGTTATTGAGGAACAGCAGTCACAAACTGTTATTTCTCTGTACATACTCAATAGTTCAATACTATTTTTTCTGTATAATAAAAACAGTGAACCCAAGATTTTTTTTTTTATATATCTTTATCTCCATTTTTTCTTCATTTCATTTTTTTTCTTGTTCATGTCAAAATCTAACAGATATAACCTAGAACCCGAGTCATCTATCAAACATTTTTCAGGAAAAAGAGATAACAAGAATAGTATGAGGACAGACAAAAGATAGAAGGACAAATTGAACGTGAAGGGAGATTTGAACACCCCACTCTCTGACAATGAGTCATTATTTAACAGTTATTTCAACTTACACATGTAGTTATATCATAATGTTACCCTGGTAAATTTTAGCTGCAATATACCGCTACGCTAGAGAGAAAGTCTCTTTAACTCAATCGGTTGAGCGTCAGACTAGTAAAACCTAGGTCCCAGGTTTGAATCATTAAGGACCTGTTATTAGTTAGCCATGCCCCTTATGTCTTTACTTTACTTATCAGACTAGTAAACCAGAGGTCCCGAGTTTGAGTCCTAGAAGATGTGTTGAAATAAATAATGACCTCTGTTGTAATGATTAGATTAACAGCCAGATCACGGGAGTCTTACCTGTGTATGGACCCAATGAGCTGGTGGGTGATTACTTTTCTTAACTGCCAGGTCCAACAAGCCATCCTGAGCTAGTTTCCGTGGTGAAGAACACATTGAAAAACCACCCACTTTTTCTACCTTGGGAATCATCATGTCCACCCTGAAATACAACTTGATCTCTGACGTCAATCAGATTTGGAGGCATAATTGAAAAGTGAGACACAAGGAAAATATGGTTGAGGATTTTTTTTCTTGGTTTCAGAACAATCCATGAATATAAAAAAGAAAAAGATGACTGTCTAATAAGTCTCAAAATTAAACACACAACTTGCATGTAAAATTTGAGATAAATCATACCATTTCTTGAGAAAAGTGAAAACAAAAATTTGTTTATAATGATGATCAGAAAGCCTATGACGAGATGCTGGGAAAAATTTCTCAGCTGACGTCATCTCCTACAAAGGACTGCAGTGATTTTACGAAGGATTTTTTCATGCGAGTCCATAACATCAATTCCAAAACTTTTATTGAGTCCCACTTCTAAGAGATATGGTGGGTTCTGAAAAATCTGAGTGATTTCCACAAGAAAAGTTATGAGTCAACCAGGACTCAAATATCTGAGTCCTAAATATCACTATAGGAGGACAGCTGAAGCATATTCTTGCTGCAGATTTGAACAACAACAGATAACAAGGACGATCTATTGTAACTACAGTCAAAAGATTGATTAACAACCCCGAAATTAAACGGAAAACACCAATAACACAATTGACACAGTCCACATGAAGTGGAAGAGTACAGAAAGGTGCGTTTCACCCAATCAATCGCGTGCTCACCATTGCCCTGCCTTGAAGAAAAAACGCTTATCATGGACCTTCAAGGTCAGCTTTTTCACTGTTGACGACTCATCCTTCACCTTGACAACTGTCGCACCAGACACAACCTGCAAAACACCATCACCCAAAGTTCATTTCATTGACAACGGCAACAGATCGTGGAATAGGGTTTTTCTTCTTGGATTAATTTCTGTAAAGTATCATAAGTATAACGGAGAAAGTAATCAATACCAATAAAATTTGTAGCCTTTATCAAGTTAACGGTAATATTTAGTTGTTGTTGTGAGAAATGAGATAGATTGTAGCTTGCAGAGTGCTGGCCTATGCAACCTCCTATGAAGATTTAAAGTGAATAGTTCAATACTTGTGACTTTTCATGACTTGTTTTTCAGGAAGATGACAAATGGACAAATCAGTGCTGTTGTGGCTGTGTCCGTGTGCTAGACATTTTACCCCAGTATAACTTGTTGCATGCGATGGGTCCATAGTATTGTTCAGTGATGAGGTGGCAGCCATCTTAATAAAGGACAGATGGACGACATGTCAGAAGCATTTTACTGTATAAGTAGAAATATTCCTGGGGGATATAATTTCACTATGTCTGTAGTCATTAGGGATAACACGAAATTAAATGACCAAGGAACATTTCTAGATTAAATGAAAATAGATGTTACTATTGTTTACATGGACATCAGTTCATAATTATGTGCGAAAATTTATATCTGTGAAATAGCCTACAACCAGGTTAACCACGATATAGACATGCAAGGTGCATGATACCTGCCAAGGATTTGTGATTAAAACACACAGAGCAGACAAGGTAATATGACACAAGTAGATACACATCATGAATAATGCAGTCTACATCTGTTAGGTAGACATAGTTATAGGATGTGGGTAGATAAATGTTAAGTAGACATCATCACAAAGCTTTGGAGACAGTCATAAAACTATGTATGGTACATGTGGTGAATACTTCATCACAGCATTTCAGTTTTCTAATAACTCATCACAGTCTTTCAGTTTTCCTGAACACAGAAAGTGTTTCATATTAAAAAATCCGCAAGAAAGTGAAGTCCATGTCAAATGATATTCAGAAATCTGCATAGCCATAGATCAAGAGCTCACACTCATACATAATGGATATCTTGTTTACCTCCATCACTGATTAATGATGACGCACTTTTCAAGTTGACGAGCAGTTTGACATTCATATCTTCACCAATGTAAATACACTTATTGCTGATAAAGCACCACTGCAGGTGTATTATTTATGTAAAAGTGGAGCGTAAAGATCACTTCATCGTACAAGTTTTTGCTGGTGTCTAATGGTAGGGTATTGACAAAGAGAGCAAAAGATACTTTCAAGTTACCCATTAAAGCCATCATGTAAAAAATAAAGCTGATTTTAAATGGCTTTTGTAACTTCAATGAATTTTTAATGAAACATACACAACCTTTTAATGACGTTCAGCAACAGTAGTATCACTTGAGACCTAGTTAAAGCAGGACATTTTATTATGCAATCCTATCACTTTTAAGGCTTTTGACCACTCCACTTGTCATTTGTAAGCTACATCCTTTAAAATTATTGTGAAACAAGAAATGGGTGTTTTTAATAGCTTTGGTAACTTTAATTGGTTACTTTTAATTGTCCTGGTAACTTTAATTGGTTACTTTTTATTGTCCCGGTAACTTTAATTGGTTAGTTTTAATTGCTTCGGTAACTTTAATTAGTTGTTTTTAATAGCTTTGGTAAATTTAATTGGTTGTTTTAATCACTTTAGAAACATTAATTGTTTGGTTTTAGTTGCTTTGGTAACTTTAATTGGTTGCTTTGACTGTTTTTAATAGCAATTTTAATGAGACTTTGCAAGCACAAATCATCCCAGTTTAGCAGCAATTGATTATCTTGTTAGACTGCCATTTGACAAAGCTGGAGCACACATCCACAAGTTGCATGTAAATGATTTCCTTACTCAAAAGAATCTGGATCTGCTGCCGGCAAAATTATCTGACCTTTCACTTAATTGTAGCACAAAACCAATACATTCAGATGAAATGTTGGTTTAAGTAAACTGATTAAAACTGACGTTTGTCTAGATTTCTGGTGGATTTGTTTGCGTCTGAAACAGCATTCCCAAGGCATTTTTCTATAATCTTGTTGAATCCATGCTGCACTGGCACAACATTTCTGTTGCTACTTACAATAGACATACCTAGTATTGACACAGGACATTGTGCCTTTACTATAAAATAGGTGTTCTTTAGACAATTCTTAGCAAAATGATCTTGAATAAAATTTGCCTTTTATAATTCTCAAACTAATTGTACTTTTTGAAGATAGTGTCTAACATACAGGTTGTGTTAGTATGTTTATAACAAGAATATAAAGTATGTAATAGGGGCCACAGTGGTTAAGGTTTCTGACTGTCTTTATCACTATCCCTCCACCTCTAGGTCACTGGTTCGAGGTCAACGTGGAGCAATTACAAGGAAATGACCGCAGGTTAGTGGTTTTTCTCCTGGAACCTCGGCTTACCGCCACCATCCAAACCTGGAACGTCCTTAAATGACCCTGGCTTTTGATAGGACGTAAAGCTACTATAAACTGAACTAAACTTACTGTTTAATATGTGTAAAACTAATCCAGTATCCAAATTAGATTGAGTCCTCTTTTGATGCCAGAAATATCAAATTAACTCCATATTGTTATCTTTAGAAACAGCCAATTTCATTTTCTGCAAGACATCACTTAAACTGTTACTATGTGCTTTACCAAATCCAGTGTACGACTGATTACAGTCTGTAAATATGATGATAAACATGTGGACACAAAAATGTGATGCTATCCTAAACTTTGTGGAAATCGGTACATTTTATTTGTTCTTCAGCGCAATATAGCTTTACAAGATCCCCTCAGCTACTCTCACATGTTAAGGATTATATCATTCAAAATTGTCACATTATTTGTAAAAAAATTTTGATGATAAAACACTTATAAAGGAGGGAAAGATAAGAAGGCAGAAAATGTAGAAATGAGATCCAAACATTCTGGAGTAGAAATTCATAACTCCTGCATCAGTTTCTCAGATTTTCTTCCATCGTAAACATCTACATCAATCTGTACCAAGTTATGATGAAATCCAACACATCTTGTAGAAGGAGTTGTCTCTAAAGCAGACAAGGGCCATAGCTCCAAAATATTTTGGTTATCTGCAACTTCCTTCAGTTCATTAAAGAATATCCTCATATCATACATATGTTTGTATAGATATGCTTCCTATGTGCCAAGTTATAATCAAATTATGTAAAATTAAATACAACAAACTCATTGTTGAATTAATTGCCCTTACAAAGGAATAACAGAGAAAGTGATTTTTCTATCAAAACTTGACTGCAATCTATATGGTCTGATCTTAGTGTGTAAACCGACAGCGCGACAAAATACAGATCCACAATCCATCTGTTGTTGAAAGAAAATGAGCATTTATTTGGCGAAAGACTACACGAACATTTTTGGCTGTAATATGGTTATATTATCGTTACCTTGTAATGATCAGAAATAGGTCAATGATTTTAATTTGGTATGAATACAGTATTCTGTCAGAGTTCGCAAATCTGCTGGTAGCTAAGTTTGTAATCAAGTCACGTTATTCTCCGAACAATTTCAAAAATGACTGCCGCTAAACATTTAATAACGGGTGCTCAAAAGTGATTTACATCCGTAAAAAAATATGACAAAATCAAATGGTTTGTAATCATTGTGTAGTTTAATATTCACTTCAATACCAAGGGTTATTTTATACACATACAAAACATTTTGACATAATTTTTTTTTAATTTGTTCAATAACATAGCTTGGTGCCATACCTTACATTACATTAATCCACATATAAATGATCAGATCATGTACTGATAACAAAAGGACTAGAAAAACAAGGACGTTTTAAATAAATTTTAAAAAAATCTAATTACATTTGAAAAAGCTGAACCTACTTCAATTGAATGTTTATTTAATAAAGCTCACACATTCTTATGTCACTTCAAAGATTATTTTTTTACATATTCAATTGCATTATGCACATAAATATCAGAAACTTTTGATCACCTCAAGACAATGTTAATAAATTTCAAAACTGACAAAAAAAATTGAATCATATTTTCTAATCAAATGTGTTGATTTTTTTAAAAACAAATTCTAAAATTCTGCAATTTAAAAAAAGTATCACAAAACACTTGGAAGATTGTTTTTTACATGTTATCTATGATGCATAACCAACATGATACAGCTGCTAGCATGGGCAATGCAGATGATATATGTTATATACTGTATAATCCTTTTGTGCAAATTTGTAAAGATCTGGCTTCTTGCTTTACAGGTGATAAGGATCCTTATGTTTCATACCTCTTTACTCATGAGTTCAATGAAAATGATAATTTAATGTAGAAGTTCCTTTCAATATTGAAATCATACATTTGCTTCAATGTAATTTTACTTTACAATGCAGAAACCACAAACACAACACAAAACTTCTCATACTTGAGACAGAAAAAATTTAACAAGCTACCTGGTGCTAGATTTTTCTGTTCCCTTCAATCTGTGTGGTACCTTTATTCAATATTTGGCCTTAAGATATCAAAATTAAAATCACATCCTGTTTTTCTGATGTTTAACCACAACGGGAGGCAACCTTATTAATTTGAAGAATTTGGAAATGAGACTAGGTGAGAATTTTTTATGCAAATTTGACACTATAATGTAGGAAAAAAAGAATGTTACCTGTATATGTTAAACATTGATTTATCACAATCTCAGCTTCCTCTCAAATGAGATTTTGTTACGAAAACTATTCTATATATTAACTTGCTTTTTCTTCAATTCAGAAACTAAAAATCTGTGTAACTGTTGTCAGTATTAAAGCATTGATTAGGTAGAAATTATCAATATAACTACAGCACCATGAAGAATCGGTATGATTTCATGGACCTTGTCAGACTCTATATGGCAAAGTTACACATAAACCAGGGGCCTATTCATATAAATGGACAAATCAGTTTGTCTGAACATTAAATAAATGTAATATTTTTGGCATACATTAGGACAAACCTGCAAATGTTAACACAGGCCCTGAAAGATTTATTCGAAGCTTATTAGAAAGCAAATTAAGATCAGTAGGTTTGCCCATAAATGAACAACTCATGTCCAGCTGGTCAAACTGCTAAACAAAAATGGCTAAATAAAGCATGTAAGCAACTACATAGATCAAATTAGTTAGAAAACACACAGCAAAACTGCAAACCTTGCCAGCCATCAATACAGTACTCATCCTTATTAACTAGTGATAAACTCAGATTAGTGAACTTGGACGATTAAAAGAATCATGATTAATGGAATAGAAACTGGTCATATCTAATGTTCAAATGCAAAAGCTTCCTTGGTGGGCTTATTTCATCACCAGAACAGACTCATGAAATTGCCACATTAGTGAAACTGATTTTAAGGGCTTTTTGAGGTCCCAAGCGAAATTGTTCCATATTTAAGTAATAACCACTAGATTTGCAACTTACTACTAAAAATTTTCTTTCAAATTCAGCAATGTTCTTCCTAAAATGAGACAAAAATGCCCAATCCCTAACTGATGAGAAAAACAAAACAAAAAAGTAAATGAAAAAACAAAAATTCAAAAATAAGAGTACCAGTAATATAAACATATTGATTAATCATTCAGTCATTTGTGTTACAAAAGGTACATTTTTTATATAAAGCTGGTGTGTCAATAGACTATGCATGTTCAAAATCATTAACAACTAATTTTTGTACAACAATTTAAATTTCTCGTGAAAACAACACACCCACAAAAACAAAAAAGGTCAATAAACATATACCAGTATATCCCACAAGAAAAAGCATTGGTCCATACCTTATACAATGGAGTCAGGCGGGGCCTGTATCACTCACATTATCAGAATTATGTCACACAAATATGGATCTAAGTATGAAAACATCATCAAAACAGGCTGAATATTTCTATAATTGTCTAATAACCATTTCATATTATGGATCTTTTTAAAAAGCAGATTTCATATTTTTTATGTTGTGTAAAAAGCAGATTTCATATTTGTATATGAATAACTAAAAATGATTGCTAGCAGAATGAAATGATCCTCTTTCATCATATGAAATTTTTTGTTACCTTTCTTTTTTTTATTTTTTTTTATGTCTTTTTTATTATAGCAAACTCATTCATAAAACTCACTTTAGCTGTTTGACAACAAATTTCACGCATGACCTAGTTCTGCAGCCTCTTGGCTATTGACAAGATGTCATAATTTCACCTTGAAAAATTCTAGGAATACTTAGCATGTAGATCTCTTAGTTGTTTCAAAGAAATAAAGTATTTGCTGTTTAAATAACAAAAATGTTGACAACAGATACCCTACACCACCATCTTGACTCATGATTACAACTCATCAAAGATTAAACAATATGTAAAACCTTTTAATACTTCTTCATTGCAATATAAAAAATGTCTTTAATATTTTGATTTACAATCGGAAGAAATGAAACCAGGATATGAGGATGCATAACAACAAAAAAAACATATAGTCAAATTTTGAATAAAATGTTTAACTTTGTATATTATCATGTAACTCTACATTATACATATAAATACATGCAATTAAAATTTTTTAAAAAATTTATCCTTTTGTATTGAGTCTACCAATATCTATGAAATGAGATTCCTATAAAAATTCTTTGATCAATAATCTTTATTGTAAAAGCTGATTATGGTAAGTAAGAATACAAGTACATGCTTGTACACTCCGTTAAAAAAAAAGATAATAATAAACATCATTTTATTCTGTCAATAATATCTTCCCTACATAGTGCCATTGACTTACTATCATCTATCCATTCCATCACTATTTCATAGCTATGGATAATGGTTAGTGTATTTACAGAAAATAATTGTCCTTCTGGCATACCGACGTTGTGTAGGATTCAATCAATAGATAAAATAAATATCTATAAATATGTCACGTTATCATTCATATGTAATTGTTGCACAATTTATGTATGAATGTACTCAACCTATCATTTTTATTCATTTTTTAGATGCAGTCTTTGCTTAATGCATCAGATAATATGCATCCTTCTCAATAAGTTTCAAAGCCCCTGTCCTTATATCATTTACTCTGCCTGTCTTCATATTTATTCCCATACATATGAAAAACAAGAGGCCTAAGGGCGTTAACAGTTACCCGAGTCACAAAGCTTGTTGTAACATGTCATAGAAATTATCTTTTTTTTCAAAGTTTTATAACTTTAACTTTATTGTACACATAATGCAAATGTAAATTGTATATACATTAACTGCTCTATGCTAAGGCTTCTAACCGAGTTTGAATTAAAAGTATTTAAACTTAAAAGTTGAATTTTCCTATACCTTCTGACAAAAAGTTGAAATCTCAATACGACTCCAGGATACAAATCACCTTAACAATGACTGGCTAGGTTCATCTGAGAAGAACATTATTTCAATTTGAGAAGGCTTGGTGAAACTCTACGGATAAAAATGCTGAGAAAAATAAATAAAAAATAATCTCTTTGTACCAAGGAAAATGTGACTTCATGAATTTTGTTTTGTCATAAAGTATGTCTCAATTTAAACATCAACATTGAGAGTTTTTGGCTTCTCCCAAGTAAATTCTGGTCTGCCAAAGTGACCATAGCAAGCTGTCTTTCGATAGATTGGGTCATGAAGATTTAATTCCTTAACAATGGCACCAGGGCGAAGGTCAAAGTTATCCTTTATGACCTTGAGAAGCTGTTCCTCTGTCAGTTCAGATGTACCAAAACTCTGTACCGTTATGGAAAGAGGCCTGGCTACACCAATGGCATAAGACACTTGAATGAGAACTCTCCTACATAAACCTGCCGTCACCAGAGATTTAGCAATCCAGCGTGTCGCATAAGCTGCTGATCTGTCAACTTTGGAGAAGTCCTTCCCTGAGAATGCCCCTCCTCCATGTGCACCCCACCCTCCATAGGTATCCACAATGATCTTTCGGCCAGTCAGACCAGCATCGCTCTGAGGACCTCCAATGATAAATTTTCCCGAGGGTTGTATGTGAAAGATTGTGTTACTGTCAACATACCTCTGTGGAATTACAATGTTGACAACCTTGTCCATGATCTGCTGGCGTAGTTCTTCTGTGGTCACTTCCTCGTTGTGCTGAGCCGACACGACAATGGTGTGTACACGTAATGGTACACAAGCTCCACCATCATATTTATATTCCACCGTAACCTGGGTCTTTGTGTCTGGTCTAGCCCATGGCAGGCCCCCATTACGACGCAGTTCAGCAATTTTTTGGTTCAGCTTGTGAGACAGGACTACAGTGAGAGGCATACATTCTTCTGTCTCATCGGTAGCATATCCAAACATTATGCCCTGGTCCCCAGCTCCAATGTCATCTTCTGAACGATTCTGATGCACACCTTGAGCGATATCTGGACTTTGTTGTTCTAGCGCCATCAGAACATTACACGTTTTGTAATCAAAGCCTTTGGCAGAGTCATCATACCCAATCTGCTGGACAGTATCGCGGACAACCTGTTGATAGTCAACAGTAGCTGAACTAGTTATCTCACCTGCAAGGAGAATCATGCCAGTTTTTGCGACTGTTTCGCATGCAACCTTTGCCTTTGGATCCTGCTGTAACAGAGCATCTAAAATGGCATCACTAATTTGGTCACACATCTTGTCTGGATGTCCTTCCCCAACAGATTCCGACGTAAAGAGGAAGGTTCCTATGTCGTCCTGGCTACATTCCTCAGCATAGTGTTTGTGGATCTCAGTATAGTGATCCTTTCCAGCGTCACAGTTGTTTGTGAAGTCAGACATGTTATGTTTGAATGTTGTACTTACGTTGTGTCTAGTGTTACTGGCTGTTCTTTGAAGGTGGTCCAAGGACATGCGCCTGACACTACAAAACATAACAATGTGTGGTCTTCAAGGATTGTTAGTCATATGTGTGAAAATTACATGAAACTATGTATGATGATTCCTTAGTTACAAGAAACTGGTTTGGAATGCATTTTCAGTTTTGATAACACAGTGTTAAATAATGTTCCATGTCATATATAGCAATAGCTACAACATAATTTGAAAATGTGATCACAAAATGCAATTTATAACTTCAAGATACTGGTATACAGGGACAATATATCAGAGGTTCACTACTAGTTTTAGGTGGTTAGCAATTATCTATCTTTTCTGGCCAACACTGTAAAGTTCATGACTGAGAATCGTAAGTTGGTAACATTGTCTACTTATTTTTGTTTATTTTTAGTAATCGATGATAGTTAAAAAAGAAATTTAAACAGATATACAGTGTAAGAAAATATCAATTTCATTTGAAAGGATTTAAACAAAACTTGGTATGTTATAATGATTAAGTAATAGAGCTCATTATTTCAATTCTTCCCCTAGGATTTGAACCCAGGACCTCTGGAGTACTAGCACTTAACTGATCAAGCCAAAGAGAAGTTCTCTCTCGTCAATTAGTATTTTGCAGTTAGTATTTTACCAGGGTTACATACTACCCCTCAAGGAAATAACTCATCTTCAAGTTTCCAGCAATTCTTGTGGAAGTAATGCAAAGTCTGAGTCCCTATGTGGACGCCCATGTAACATAGATTCAGTTTTATACTCAAGTGATTCTGTCCTAGTCCTGGAATGAGCATATTTGTGATTTTTTTAAAAAGTATTACAGTGTAATCATTAAAACTACTCCTAAATTATCATGGCATTCAGTCGACTCTTATTATTTGACTTGTCAAATCCCAAATTACATACATATCATGAAGACATTCCCTTCCACAAGTCATTTTAGGGGTCAAAACCTGCTCTCAAGGGTCAACTGAATGTCATAGGGTCTACTGGATGCCTTGATTATCATTACAAGTAATAGTCTCTTTGGCATATCAAACATAATTCATATAATTCAGAGAAAAAATAAATCCCGGTTACTTTCTCGAATATAGCGTCAGACCTCTTTTGTTTTTGTGGAAGGCTTAAATGGAGAGGTTCGACATTGTAAGTCGTTACGCAGGGAAAATTATCGCGTTGTAAATTTGGTTTCAATTATGCAGGGTTAATGGCCTTAAATACGAAAGTTGTTAATCGTATCTGACAATATGTCGGTTTTAATATGGTTCCTGCTTAACAAATTGCGATTACATAAATTCGGGCACTCACCTATCAACAGAAAGCCGACTGTTGCGAGAATACAGAAATAAGTTTAAGCCGGCCTACATACACACTTATTACTTACCAGAATCTCGTGGATGCTTTCGACGCTATTCTCAAAAAACTGACTCTCGAGAAATTTGATATGTATTTCAGACAATGATTGGTTATCATATCAAATATCTTCCTCACACGGACTTTCGCATGTTGTCAGAGTGTTCCCGGAAAGGAAGTAGTAATTAGCTTCTAAAAAGGAACCGTATGTCCGGATTATGGTGACACGAGAAAAATATAGCCATACCTCTGATTATGACAAAAGAAAAAAAAATTATAAGATAAACCGGCATTATCATATTTAATGTCAGAGAAATTTTTAACGTGCTCTTCGTGGTTTTGTTTAGTCGCATTCCGTTTTCATTTATGAAACTGTTAGTTCCTCATATTGCTTTCTTTTCAAACTATCATTCGACTTTAATAGGTTGATAATTGCAAACACATGTAGGACTAGACAGCTTTTTAAAACAAGCAAAACAAAGAACTTTTCCAGTTTGGGTCCCACCATAATAAAAGTCACACGTACTCATTTGAGCTCCTACCAAAATTTCCACAAAGTGCTTGCTAGTGATTGATTTAAGATTCAAAGTTCAAAGGTCAGAATTAATGTTACCAATTTTTTTTTTTACACAATGCCCCAAGTTCTCTCAAGCTGATTTATTTTACTAATTTCATTGCTTTTTCATAGAAAGTGCAATAACTTCAGTTCTTTCTGGCCAACGCCATTTATATCACTTCCAATGCTTCCTCACATTTACTTGGTTAGTTGTGTTTTTGTCTCCTTGAATCGTCCCATTTCTTGGTGTTGCCTCTCCGCTGAACATCTATGTTCTGGCTTTACAGGTCTGTAGTTCAAAGGTCCAAGAAAGTGTTACAATAAATGGGAAAATTCATTATCCACAATATCTAGATCTTTTTTAATTTCCTTGCTCTCCTTTCACTAGGTTGTCAGTCAAAGCTTCCTCAAAGAAAACGCTCACTTAGAGAAAATGCTCACTTGTGATTCCTTTTCAAGATTGTATTTGATTTACATGATGCTGTTTATAAACAAGAGGCTGAAAAGACCTGTATCACTCACATGGATATTAAAGAAAGAATAACAAATTATGGTATGTTCTATCATCCCTGCTTAGGTGCCAATACACATCATAAACATTATATTAGTGTTGGTGTTCATGTTTTGAAAAATAATGAACATTCTTAATACTTCTATAAGTGTTTGCATATTTTAGCAAATCTAACCCTAGTGAACATGAAGGCCTTTTTTTTGAAAACCTGTAACATTCCATCCAAGATACATGCTCACCAATTATCAAAACCCTGAAACGTTTGAAATTTGCCCCCCTTTTTAACTTTGAAAACATGTCAAGGTCATTTATTTTGAGTAGCTTCATAGAACTCCATCCAGGTCCCTTCTAGCCAAATAATAACCAACAGTCTTATTGAGCTTTGATGCTCAATGATGGTTAACATGTTTTACTCCAGTGACCTCGAAAAAAGTTAAGGATTTACTCGAGAAAACTTTGTATCACTCCATCAGTGGTATCCTCTGGTTTATCAGAACTAGTGTGTGTTCGATCTTATGAAAATTAAATTCAGATGAAAAAAATTCTTTTATGTTTTAAACAAAGTTGACAACTTTGACTCCAACAATATGTCAAGGTCATCTGTATAAGGAAACATGATCACACTCCTGTCTAGATCTTATTGAACTTGAGAAGAAGTTTCTTGAATGATTTAAACATCGCTGATCTCTTTGACTTTAAAATTATCTATGTACCTGCTGGTATAATATATGGACTATTGGTCTTATGGAACTTGAAAGTAATATTTAAATCTCTTTTTAACATATTTGAAAACCGTGACCTTAAACATAAGGTCATTTATATGACAATGCTTTCAGGTGTTCTATCCTAGGTGTCTGATTGCACGAACTTGGGTTTTACCCGGAGAAGAATACATTTTAAACATATCCGACACAAAGGACTTTGAACATATGCAAGTCATTTATTTGAGGGATCTTAACCACACTCTGTTCTACATACATAATAAATATTACTCAGGTCTTCTGGAACTTGGGAAGACTATGACAGCTTTAAATATATTTTACCCATATGACCTTGAAAACTTGAAGACTCGAAAAAAACATCATTTATATGAGGAAACTGTGAAGAACTATATCTACTACCTGAGGATTTCTTGACATTTGACCTTTGCGGCTTTGAAAATAGGTCAAGGTCAACTATATAAGGAAACTTTGTAGCACTCTATCCTAGGTAAGTACTGATACTGGCAAAATAGACAGACTCTGGGTCTTCTGGAACTTTGAAACATTGGAACTAAATGGCATATCTTCACCATGTACTGAAATAATGGTTTTATGAGCTGCATGTGAATTCCCAAAACACCATCAAGAAGATAGATATTACTTTGATATCCTACATTAATATGTGACCTTACCTTTGCCCTCTGCTGCTGAAAACAGAGGGTTCATCCTCTCATAATGAGGGGCGGATAAATATTTATATAATTATTTTCAGTGTCACTTTTTTCCCTACATGCTCTAGAGACTTTGACCTTGGACTAAATTCTGAAAATTTACTTAACGTTTCTTCTTTACACAGTAAAAGTAACTTTATCCTTCTCCTCACAATTTTAGTATAATGTTAATTAATTTAGCTATACAAGTATGACCCAGAGTAACCTTGTGATCATCAATAGGTCCATCCCCTCCTGAAGTACAGGAAACAATGAAAAAAAAGTCAGACAATTGATACATTTGTATAAAGTTACATTTTTCCTTCATGTACAAGTTCAACTACTGTGCATATGAATTAAACACGAGACCTAAAGGGCTTGTGTAGCCCATCTGATCTGCAACTTTAACGGAGAAGACCTGATAGTCCTGATTGTTAACTCTTTATATTTCTATGTTCGTTCCAAATATCATATCCCTCTTTACAGTATTCTGTTGCAGGCAATTGAGTTAACGAGGTAGCTCTCCATCTCGAAAATCTTAAAAAATGAATTTGAATAACTTCGTAGAATTTTCTCCCAGTATGATACTGACCCTTTTAGTTATCATGAAAAAATTCTGTGAATGATTTTAAAAAACTAGATGCTGGACAAACAGACAATTGACAGACACCATGTCACCAGATAAGCTCACTTGCCCTTCATGCATCAAAACAGAGTATTTAAGCAATATTAAATAATTTATGTCTAAATGTCTAAAACACGTCTCTCCAGGTGAAAGGTGACCATCTTACTTTCATCACGGAAATCTTTGACACATCAAATTTTGATGGCAATGTCTGTAGGACCGTCTGTACTAAAGCCATCTTTCTCATCTTTCAACTAATTGGTCGAAAGACAGACTTAGATATAACAAACTCCATATTGAAATGACAAACGGAAGTGTTTTTTTAGAGGAATTTTGATTTGATAATAATAGATACATTTCCATATTTTATGCAATTCTATACTTTGGCAAGAAATAGACTTCAATCTTTCCATCTCTCATTTGGCTCTGTATATAAAACAGTTTGGTTTTCTTCTTCAAAAGTTTGAAAATCAATAGTAATAATGAAATATGAGCCAGGTATTGAATTTTAGTCGACTTGGTTAACATGTGGAAGAAAAGTGCTTAAAAATAAACTAATCAGAAAAATAGTTAAAAAAACAACAAACTTTTATCTCAAATATTTTTGTTTTTTTATTTGACACTCTTAACATTCATGAATTAATATTTCAATCCACCAATATACTTAAACAGCAATCATATCTACAAACATCTGTATCATTCTTCACTCAAACATTCTGAGACAAGGCAGTAAGAACTCTTAACAGCGACCATCATAACATAACTTCGTTAGTTAATACAAAATCCTGTTCTTTTCAATTTCCATATCTTGTAAGTCCTTTCAGATGATTTGTGTGGATCAAATATGATGACCTTTGATTCTAAATAATGTGCAGTTAAAATTAAAGACTCACAACCTGGATCTTACCAGATATGTAATTCTCAAAAATTGGAAAAACTGCTTTGCATTTTTCCAAGATTGAAGTCTCATAAAACAGAGCTATGAAAACAAATGAAGAACTCAACAAATCATAATACCATCACAATGATAAACAGCTTAATTTCCCAAAAGATTTCTGATTCTCTAATATCTCTCAAGAGATAATTCCTTGTTAATATCTATCAGGTCACTGAACAAACTGTCTCAGTGAGTTGATAGAATGTTAACAAGCTGCCTTACTGTATTTAGTTAAAACACACATGAAAGACATGGCACAGCAGTTGTCACTGTTATGAGTCTATCATCATTTCAATGATTGGGTGTGTGAGAGGTGCATTGGTAAACAAACATCCCACATAGCATTTCGTACCCCAGATATGGTGACGTATCACTTTACAGCACCCTAAATCTTCTATTTCAAATCCTAGTTTACGATATACTTCGTCAGTTTCAAACATTGTGGCATTTGTATGGGGTCCATAGAACTGCAAGAGAAAAAAAATCATTGAAGTTTTTTCTAAATTGTTCCATTACAAGAAATATTGCAAAATTAAAAGCCCTATGCGTAGTAAAACCAGCCGCTAAACCAACTTTTCTGTCAGTATTTTGCTTGAGAAATAGAGAAAGTTTCAGGTCTACTGGGAATGCCTCGCAAAATGAGGGGAAATTTACCTCGTTATATCCCCATACCCATATTTTGTGATAAAAATAAATGTAAGATCTTACATGGATTTTCCTTTCATATGAGATTACGAAATGAGTCTTGTAAAATTAGAGTTTTTCATTTGATTACTTACTGGTTTTCCACAAGATGGATCAATGAAATCTGCCCAGTAATTTCCACTCTCTAGAGCTTCACAAATCTCCTTTGCACCCTGTACAAACTGTCAAGACATATAACACACAGTAATATAATATTTAAATACAGACAAAAGGAATTATCTTACCAGTGATGTTACAAAGCTAATCACTAACATTAATTCTTCTACCCATTATATTTCTTATAGACTTTACAAATGTAGCCCAGATTTAAGCATTACTTTTGTTTTGAAAATGGTTTAATATCCTCCATCAAGGCTATTAAATGTAATCCCATTTACTCTTGACCGTAACATTTTCTCCCAATCGCAATCCTCTTCATCATTCATCCTACATTTCCCCTCGCAACTTCATGTCCTCATTTTTTCCTCCATCTTATACCTCCCTTCACCAGCCCCATTTTATCTTCTACCTAACAACCCCCCATCTTTATCATAAAATCTGTATTTTCCCTCCGTTACAGGTCCCCATTTTATCCTCAATCCCAAATTTCCCTTCCTTTTTATGCTCCTTCCCAGATCTTCCCTCCCACACAAGTCTTCATTTTATCCTTCTTTCCCAAATCTTTATCCATCTTCCTATATCTCGCCTTCTTTCACACATATTTATCTCTCTTCCTTCATCTCCTGTTCTTTTCTTCCTCATAACCCTCCATAATGTTTCTCCTTGCCCAGGCCCTTCCTACTTACAGCTGCCAAAAGTGCCTCTCTCTCTTCCTCCACATCCGTATTCCAGCTAGTCATATCATTGTCTGTCTTCTGGCTGATTGTAACAAGCGTCAAAGTACCATTCATGATGTCTCGGCCGGGAAAAAGGTCTTTAAAATCTGGAATTTTCAGTAAATTTTCTCTTCAGAGCAACTTCAAAAAGAAACCTTGGTGCTTAGATAAATCTATCTAAAATAAACCGATAGATGAACCCCTACTGGTTTATCCAACGATTCTTCATCTTATATTGTGTTTTACCATAGGCATTTTAACATATGAAGTGTCGCTCAGACATTGCAAATCATGTGTATCCGTATATCCATTGATGAGGATAAACACTGATCTAGTAAAATGTCAAAATTTTTCAGTGTCTTCTCTGAAATTTTGTCAAACAGATTCTTACTCAAGCGGGCTTATTGCACAACTGTGAAATAGAATTTGCTTATAATTCTACTTAACAATAACATGTATGGATTGGCTTATTACCAGACATGGCCTTTATGCCAAAAAATACAGTATTCACCAAACCTTAGATTTTCACAAACAATATGTGCTCTGATATCAGGTCACACGGTTTTCATAAAAACAGCTCTCAACACATTTCATAAATAGCTTCCTGTGTCATTATTCATAGGAAAATACTAATGTCTACTTATGGGGCTGCTCAAAAGATGTGTATGAAGAAGTCTTCTTGTCGTAAAGATCAAAGTAGACAGAATTAAACTGACATTATACACCTACTATCAGCAGTAAAACACTCTGATTTCAAAATGTTGCCTTTTAATTGCATTTCTAACTTTGTTGAAGTTTTATAATAATAAGACACCAACAGGTTCTTTCCTCAAGACTATTACATTTACCTGGCACAGAGTATGAAACAGGTGTGTCAATAAAGAGGTTGTGGGTCATGATTCTGAAACCCAGATTTAGACAGAACCTGACGCATGAAGATAATGTAGGCTTCCATCACAGCTTTATGCAATAGAAGTGACCATTAAAATAAACGATAAATTACATCACTTTTCAAATTATAATCAGGTTTTCAGCAATGTTACAAAAAACCAACTGACTAGTTATAGCAAAACTTTCACAGCTGACAAAAAGAAGCTAAAAAACATGGCTTACTCACCTATTCTCATGAGGTATGGACAGTCTTGTGCGACATATTCTAGACGATCTGATTGACGCAGAATTTCCGAATCTTCAGACATGAATCCATCTTCCTCCTGAAACTTTACATTACAAAGGTCGACTCATGAATAATTTATTTCCACAAGTCTTTGAAATCCAGTGATGAGTACAAAACATTTGATATATACTTGTTCTAAAAAGCCTAAGACTTCTTGTGTCAAAGTGACAAGTTCACAAAGGTTTTAAGTCTGGAATCTAATAGTTTGGATTAAGATTTTGAACAAATCAGACAGGAGAAGTTAGCAGCAAATCTGAGGTTGCGAAGGATTCACAAATCAAAATATGATCTATGTAAATATTGGACTTAAACCATTTCACAAACCACTGGACAGTAAGCTACCTCTCAAGGGGAGGGAACCCAGTTATATCACAATAAGGAACATACCATGACTGCTTGTTCTAACACATTACAATGACGATATTCAGGCTGGTTTTCTAGTAAAGGTTGAACAATGTCCATGTCTTCTGGACTCTTTCTCACAGCAAGTGTTGGTGGCTTTTCAAATTTTGGTCCAATAGATCCTGGAAGCGGAAATCTTTTATTTTGAGGTCCAAATGGTCCTAAGTCTGAAGAAGTAAAGAGGAAAAAAAATACACACATGTATCTATAAGCTCACACATGAAAAGTTTTCCCAGTTTTCTCAAAAGATAACTTCATCCATACACACAAACAAATTGTAATTTCATAAAAGTTGTAAAAGAACTTTGAACTCAATCCGTACTTGTATCCAAAACAACTACCATCTCATCTGGCTACTGGTTCTTTAGGTATCAGATACTTTTTAAATATATCTCACTACAGTAAAAATATTTTTATCGTGCAAACGGAAGATTTTCTTTTGTTTTATGATGTATATAGGCCTTGCATGGAAAGCATTGTTACATAACATATTGATTTTTTTCAAAATTGAATTTATTGTGACACTATTTACATTCAATAATGTAATTTGAGAAAGATTGATCCAGTAGTTTTCTTAAGAAAAAACAATAACAAAAATTGTTCACAGTCTGATAGATGGATGGACATTACAAGTATAAAAAAGAAAGTTTTTTTAGCCAGGATAATAGTGATTATACATGTAACATCTACCATCCCATCATACATTATTACCTTGAACAACTTCCTCTGGATTAAATTCCTCTTTGCCCCATTTGTCGCTGCCATTTCCGACACAGAAGGATCGTACATGCTTTAGAGCAGTGTTTAGATTTGGTAAATAAGCCACCACTCTCTTTCTAGTCAACAACTGAAACACAGAAACAAACCCTTTAAAGTGATAATTTTTCCTTGATTTTTAAGGATAGTATGAATAATCTTAAAATGCCAAACTGATCACACAATGGCCAATGAGGTCAATGACACACATGTAGCTGTTTTAATATATCTTATCATTCCTAATAGGTTGCTATATATGTATGAACCAAAATATGGCTGACCATAATGAAATGTACTGAAGATATGACTCTGGATTGTACCAATATATATTACCGTTTTAATTAAAATCTAGCAAGTCCCAACACTGTTACACATCATTTTTTATTCAGTTTTATTGTCAGTGTCAAAACTGTTGACCATAAATACAATATTATTGTTGATAGTAGTTTGTTGTTATATCAAACATTATGTATCAACACAACTAATCTCATAAGTGTATCAGAGTATACCTGAACTTAGAAAATGTCAAAAGGACTGATTATCATATACATGCTCATAACTGGGCAATTTGGATATATACATTATATATAAGGTGTAAGGTAGAGAGCTAACACAAATATCTAAGCAAACAAACTTACAGAAGTTTATCCCAATGCTGTTGGTTTCTTCACCTCTAATCATCTTCATACTTATATGTATACATACCCTTCTGGCCATCGCCATCTCTGTCTTTCTTCTTTCAACTTTATTTTATTAGCTCTTGTTTTGCATTATCTGAAATAAACAACACACAATTCTGTTTATCTTAACCAAATTGTATGAAAACCCAGCATGAAACACAAGCATTGGTTTAAAAAATTTACATCAGTACTTTCTAGAGTAAAACATGATAGCCATCTTAGTTCTTTATTACAACAAATTAACCGATTATTTACCAAGATGCATTACAGATGAGGAAACAAAATAATTTAATATCAAATTGCCCGAATTTGGCAAGGTATGAAACTTGAAGAAGCTAGGGAGCCATTATAAGACAAAGAAACCTTTTTCAGAAAAAATTTGGAAAGTGTTTTCAACTAGAACTATTGCACTATCTAGAATCAAACAAACAAATTCAATAACAAATTCAAAACATACTACATGAACATAATCAGTTCACTGGTGTTGGCAAAAGCTATTTTACTCTGGCAGAACACGGAATTGTCAGTTTTTTCAATAAAGCAGCTGGCATTGGGTATTTTTAATGTGAAACTTACAGCAGCATGTATCTGGATAGATTAAGATTTTTTTTTTTTTTTTTTTTTGATGAGGAAGATTTTTTTATTTTTCTATTTCTGCATTTTGGGAAATATGGCACAGTTTTTGACTGGGGAAACAGTCTACAGTCTTTTCGGTGCTGTAAAACAATGCAAACAAAATCATTGTATAGATACATGTATATATGAATACTGTAAACAGGCTCCTAGCCATTGTAAATGTTTTGATGTGTTTGTGTATCTATTTTGATTGTAATATGCCCTTGTAGTGTAACATCAGGAACTTTGTCAACAGTATCAACATTAACATCAATCCTTTGATGTGAGAGGATGCACTGGAACTCTAATATATCCTCTCATTACAGAGGATTTTTCTCCTCTGAATTCAGACACATTGGTGTATAGGCAGGTTAAAATGGGTGCAACGATTTACCCAAATACACCCCAATCTTACCCAAATTAAGCCAAATCTTACCCATATATACCCCAATATACCCAAATTAAGCCAAATCTTACCCAAATATACCCCAATATACCCAAATTAAGCCAAATCTTACCCAAATGTACCCTTTATTTGGGTAAATTTGGTTATGATTTGGCTCTATTTGGGTATATTTGGGAAAGATTTTGGTGTATTTGGGTATATTTTGGTGTATTTGGGTATATTTGGGTAAATCGTCACATCGGGTTAAAATTAAATGCACAAAACGTCTTTTTCTAATTCACAGTCTATCTAATTTTACAAACATATCTACCATATCATCTAACTGAACACACACATTCTGAAAATGACTTCACATATATTACCTGTACGTGATTTTTTTAAAATCATACTGTGTAATTTACTGCTGTTTACGGAATTGTAAATAAATAATTAGTAAAATTTCATATGATTAATATCATCCATGCCGTTTAGTTATTGTGAAAATGGCGTTTTGTGTGTATATTTTTTCTCAGATCAACTAGCATTTTCCTCTACAACAATGTGACTGAGTATAACGTTAACATTGCCAGCAGAAGACAAGAGAAAAATCCTTTGTAAATAGAATACCGATAAATGAGACTTATATCTAAGACACGTGGAGTTCTAGTTCGTCCTCTCAAATCAATGGACGTTCCAAACCTGGCCAGCGGATTAGTGTGAATTGATCACAATGAATATGTGTGGTATATATTTTATGGAGAAAATAATATCAAAATGAAAATATCTAAATAGATATTGTATTCGTAACCTGGTGATTGTCGACTTACAGAACGACTGTTTCTGTCAACTTGTTTAACCATTTTAATTCCAATATGTCTAATTATGAGTGTTTATGACAAAAAATCATTCTAAACCACTTTTGTAAATGTGTTTCCATTTTCAAATACAAATAAATACCATAAATCTGTATTACAACGCCTATGATTCGTTCGTTACCTTCAGTAAATTTCCGATTTCCTTTTCTGAGGTCAGACGATTTACAGTATCGGGCAGGATCGGGCAGAATCGGCAGGATCGGGCAGAATCGGGCAGGATCGGGATAGAATAGTGCCGTTTTAATGATTTTTATAAATTTCTTTTGCATTGATATCGTCATATGTAACACATTATGAATAGCTTTTAGGGAAAAATGAAGACGTATTACATAAAATACTCATATCTGATTTGGTCGCGCAAGACCGAAAGACGATTTACAGGATCGGACTAAATCGGACGGTTTATATGTAGAATTTGGGCATTAAATTGTTTTTAGTGTAATTATTGTAGTGTTAAATGACATCAGTTAAAATATCATAATTTCATATTGATCATAAACGACCAAAAAATATATTATGTTCTTTTCACATAACATAATGTGCCGCAATGGACCGAAAGACAGGTTGCTTAAAATTTTCGGGACGTTTACAGCAGTCATGTAGAAATCTCTGTGGGAAATATTGTATTCCTATGTGCGATATGAAACCGCATGGACGTCTTCGATGCTAGTTAGTTTGCTTACTGCTTACGTTACTGTAAACTTTGTTCACGTTTTACGAACGTGACTTTACTTACTTGGATTTACTGTGGTAAACAACTAAAAGGTTTTCTTTATAACTGTGTCTCATGTACCTGTAGTTGTAAGTTCATAAATACATGTCGGTCAAAAGCGCTTCACAGTATGTGTTATTTCTTTTTACCTTTTCAGTTAACTCTGAATGCAATTGTTCCGGTTTTGCAAATTCGTCTTTTAGCGACTCCTTCAAAAAATAACTAATTTGGCGGCTTCCGGTCATTCTCTCCGAGCAGCATAAAGGTGAGAGAGAGAGAAAAAACATGTCCAGGCACTTCATTACTCATAATTATTTATCTAGAAATCTTTCATAAGTAAATAAAGGGTTTATGCATAAAAATACTAACCCTGCTTCCGATTAACGTGGTTAGTTTTTCCAAATGACGATGCCGCACGACGGACACGTCTTGTCTGGAAGTCCGCATTCCACACTCCGTGTTGGTGGCACTTGAGGTTCTTGTTCTCAGCAATGTTTTTTATGATGTATTGCTCACTGTTGAATTATCAGCTTTGAAATTAAAGAAGCAGTCATTTTTATGTAAATAGTTTAGACGTATTGAGCACTAGATAATTTCCACTTTCAAACTAGCCAGGTTTACAGTTACCTATGTTTACAGTTACCTATGTTTACATGTAGTTCTGCCTGCAGGACCTATTGGTCCTCTAAATACAGTTTTGTTTACTGGTAAACGTATAAGATTTTAGAAGGTTAAGATTTTGCTTACCGTTACATCAATGTCCTTCTCACATTCTATGAGTTCCAGTGTGTTACCCGTCCATCATATGTAAACATATTAGTGTTGACTGCTTCACTTCACTTTTCCTTTCCCATACTTATTGTAGCCAGTTTCCTCCATGAGAACAACCATGTATATCAAATGTCTAAAACCATGTATTGAAGCCAGTGGCTATATTTCATAAGTTAAAGTTGTACTTGCATGATGCTTTTGACCTAAACTTTACACTACTTTATTGAAGCTCCTTCACAAAGTCTTTGACACCGAAGACAGCAATAACCCATGTTAATATCCCCAAGGAAGCATCTTATTCTCCTATAGCTTCTACTATTGGAGTGGTCCAAGACACTAAAAAAATGTTAACAGGAAGAAGTAACCTGACGAGGTTTGCACTAATGATGCTTCAAATCTCTACCCGTACACACTACCACTTGAATGAAGGAAAATTTCCACTAACCAGTACTAGTAAGGCAAACTGATTTTTCAACATCTACACTTGTATATTTTATATAAAAATTACTCTTACTGTCACATATTTGTACTTATTTTACATCCTATGTGTTACAGCAGATGGCATACATGTATTCAGTGTTTGAGTTATCAATTTCATATTCCTTGTAGATGGCAGTCCCTTCTGGAAAAACACCAATCAGTTTCCTACAAGAGCTTTGTACAAAGAGAGGGATGACCCCTCAATATGACTTACTGGCGAATGAAGGTGCTGTTCATGAACCAGTGTTTATTATGCGGGTAACTGTTGGTGACATTATTGCCACTGGAAAAGGTTAGTTACTCACATTTTGCAAATCAGTCCGTGCATCATATTTTCACAACATTATTGTTTGAAATTTGAGCTTTATTCAACAACTTTCTTTCCAACACTTCTGGGAATGCAATGTTACAGACAAGAATGTTTGGATTGGGGGCACATGCAAAAATTAAATAATAGGCGATGGGGCTGTCATTTCAAATGAATTATGGGTAGTGGACATCATGGTATATCCATATTATATCTACTGTTAATTTTGATGGTCAATGTTTATGACTCATTGTAAAAATTCAATGAATAGAATATGAAAGTCTCTTACATAAAATAAACTGCTATGACACATATATATATATACACTTAATTGAATTTTATGGAATCAATCTTTTACATTAAGAACTGGTACAAAATTTCAAAGATTCAAATATCAAATTTTATCTCATTTTTTCTGTCACATCTAGGCACAAGTAAGAAGAAGGCAAAGCATGCTGCAGCACAGAGTGCACTCAACCAAATCCTGTGCATGCCTAACGGAGTGGAAATAAAAGAAGGATCGGTGCCTGAGGCTACCCAGTAAGCTGAAAACCCTGTAGCTATGGATTAATCTCTAGAAAGCTACTGCTATATGATGCAATGAATTCTGAAACAATTGTTAAGGATTTGAATCTCTTATTTCAGATTTCATAACCTGTAGCTATGGATTAATCTCTAGAAAGCTACTGCTATATGATGCAATGAATTCTGAAACAATTGTTAAGGATTTGAATCTCTTATTTCAGATTTTAATGATTGAGTGAGGCTTTGTTTAGTTAGATTCATTGTGTGTTGGTCTATCTATCTTATTTTCTTTTAAGCTGTAGTCAACTCAAAATTTCTTCATTTCTGAAATTGCATTGCACAACTAGTAAAGAATGAGTCCAAATAAGTCACTTCATATTTGTATGTACTTTATCATTGTAATGATGCTTTAAGGTTCTTTCTTAGTTTTCAAGATTGAAAATACTAAGTTGTTTTTTCAATTTTTATAAGATTATGAGGGGAATGGAAATCCATGGTTTGACAAATGCTCTTCCCTATTAACTTTACGACAAACCTACCTCTTATGAAAATTGAGTTCTCTACATTTATTTTAATTGTAAGTCAATTATTTCTTTCTCCAGACAGAGCCAGTCAGACAGCGAAGAGCTGGGAGCTGGTAATCCTGTCGGGGAGCTTCAGGAGTTCACACAGAAAAGACTCATTAAACCCCCCGTGTATGAGTTCACTACCGAACAGGGCCCTCCTCATGCACGCGAGTTTGTCTGTGTGGTCAAGCTCGGCAAATTCACTGAGAAATGTAGGTAACAGATAACAACAAGGAATGTTACAGTGTGCATGCAAAGTATAATGAAAATAAAACCATAAGCTCTAACTTTGATATAAATATATTTCATATACAAACCTGGACCAAGTTTCTCAAAGCCTTCTTAGAGTTAACCAGCAGTTGGCAAAAAAATTGACGTCACTTTAAGTCAAGTACTTTCAAAGCAAAATTTGCAAATAGAAATGTTAATATCGTTTGTTAGAGCAAAGAAATTTTTTTATGCATATACATTTTGTGATTTGAATTGAAAACAAAATTCATTTTGCTATGTCGTTACAGGTGAAAATTTGTTACATTTGATTTGATGAAGACAGAAATAAATAAAACATTGTTTGATCTCGTTATACAGCTACAGGGCGGTCCAAAAAATCAGCTAAGCGTGCAGCAGCGGCCACCATGCTGATGCACATCAAGAACTTGATGCAGGATGGAGAAAAGACCACGAACATTGAAGAATCTGATGACGATGATGAGATGCCACTGGTACGCTTATATTCTGTTGCGGAATAGTAGAATCTCCTTTTTATGATGTAGACAAGAGATCAACTTGATCATATCAGTCTTTGATGTTAGTCTAGTGCTGATCTTCAAAAATCTTATCCCGAAGGATAAGATTTCTGTCTTGATCACACAGAGATGATTACTTTTCTCACACTTTCCTATTGAAAAAAGTTCTTGTTATGACGGTGAAATCAATACACCATGATATCATTAATGGTGCAGCAGTCATAAGATTTGAGGTGAATAAATCATGTTATTCCTTAGTGATACAGTTACACTACAGATGGGGATGAAGTGACATAATGAGGAGTGACAACATTTTAGAATAATGTTGCATAAGAACTGTATTTGCTTGGGTTGATGGATCAAAACGAATTCATCTTTTCTTAAGTTTTTGAGGAAAAAAAGGAATTCATATATTGAAGTTGGGGAAGAAAACCAAAAGTTTAAAAACATTTACCCAAGATTCAGCTAATCTTTTTATTGGATTGTTACTGAAGCAGGGCCTGGTAAGATTGTGATAAAATAATGATAATTCATTTGCGTGTTTAGTTTTATTCCTTACACCAGATCAGAAGCAAACAAGCTTGAATTTATTCATTTTCCATAGGCTGTTACAGCATGATAACATTTTGAGTGGCCTTGTGAGTAAGAACTGATCATCAGTTTATGAATAGACCATATTTAAAAGCAAAACAAGGAGATGCTAAAGTTTTTTCCATTATATCAAAAACAATGATTTTGGTGGTTGCACTGGCCCTTTCACCTAGATGTCAAGGGTTTGATTCCTGGAATGGATGTGAAAACGTATAGGGTCACCTGCCTGGTCACATAGGTTTTCTCCAGGTCTCCTCCCCTAGGAAGACTCCTCACACACTTCCATCTGGGTCAACAAGAGTGATTAATATAGAAGGGGAAAATTTGTTTTTCAATTTTTGTAAGATAAATACAGTTTAATTTTTTGAAAACAAAGAATCTCCTATGACCAGAATTTAGTCTTTCCTTCTAACTAGTTCATTAGGGTTGACTCTTGTAAACAAATTATCTCCCACAGGTTAGTGCAGGTTTGGTCAATCTGAGTAAGTAATGTCATATTCTCAAATGAGAATAAGGTAAACAATGATAAAACCACCTGGTTATTACTAATTCTATCTGGATGGATGATACAGACACGGGACACCCACTAGTGAGTTTGGCGTTGTCCTTAATTGTTTCAATAAGGTATGGATCTGTGTCACATTCCGCGTAGTTATCATTTTGAAGATTTTATTGCTAATATCGGCCTATGTAAAGTGGTGATGTTGGTGAATGTTGTGATTTCTTTTATTCAGATAAAAATATTGATTTTTTTTTTCATTTGTTTAGTCATCATCAGAGTTAAGAGCATCCTACACCGCCCTGAAGGAAGGCAAGAAAAAGATCCCAGTACCAAACCCCCAGCAGAGCAAGGAGATCCAAAAGTTTTACGAGAAAATCCTAAAAGCAGATAACAAAACCATGCAAAAACTGAAGAAACAGCCACTGAACGCTCCATCAACCAACTACTGCCAGATGCTACAGGAGATTGCTGAGGTCCAGCGCTTTGAAGTCAGTTACATGGACATCGCTGAATTGAGTGCTTCAGGTAATTCACCTATTGGTTTCAACACTTCAGGCCCCTAGCATCCTAGACGAGTGATGAACCAGCTGTATGTTGTAGCAAGGTTCATTATTTGGCTATACTGGATGTGATTCTTAAATTGAATTGAAAGGTGATATTCACTGGTGCATCTTTTTTAGACTCCTTTGTAAGAAAGTCTATGATGCAGAAATATCAGAGGCTGCAAGTGATATTCTAATTAAGTAAAAAATGTAAAAATATATTGATTACCCCATGCTTGTAATTTATTTAACCTAAACGCCTCGATTAAACCATGGATACGGATTTAGAATTGGAATATAGGTTGTGGAGGCTCAAGATTTACAAATATTGTAAGCTGTGACTTAGTTTTTATGTGTTTTCCTTTGTTATGGAATTGGAAATCAAAACTTTTATTGGGAAACAGAAAAAAAAATGACCCCTTATGTAATGCAATGTATATACCGGTATAGCTTAAAGGAAATGACAAGTAAATTGTACGTTCATCAGCATGTAAAAATTGTGAGATATCTTACAAATTGTTGGTGACACAATAAAGTCACCATAAAGCTGCCAGTTGTGTTCCAACTGTATCTATGTTTACCAGTCTGGCGAGAAAAATTATGGTAATTATGGTAACGTGTAATGAGGTGAATTTTATAACACCTCACTGGTTTACTATAAGACATGTATAGACAAGGGCATTTTTATTTTCCAGCCCAGCACCAGTGCTTGGTCCATCTGACTACCCTACCAGTCGCAGTTTGTTATGGAACAGGAAATACGGTAGATGAGGCCCACGCCCAGGCGGCCCACAATGCACTCCAATATCTGAAGATTATGACGAAGTCTTAACAAAGTTCCCCAGGACGTCCCATAGCCTCACTTTGAACAAATGGTTGCTATGGCAACAAACTGCCATAATTAGGACTTGTATTCAGTTGTATGTAATGTTTATTTATCTTTGTTATTTTGATGGAAAGTAATTCTAGCCAGTGGTGATCAATGCATTTATGTTCACGTTACAGAACTATTGGAGATAAAGTGTTCAGTTTTTGATAGTTACATATTATATCAAGTAGCATCTATTTTTAGCCATGTTGTTCAGGAAATAACTTTTAAATTCGTAAAATATTGTTGATGTTAGAATCTCCATTGACTCCATGGAAAAAGTTCTCTATTTTTTGGGGTGTTCATATGATTTAAAAATATGTATTATTTTTGTCTTAAACAGAGGTAATTTTTTTATTTTTAAAGTTTTGGAAGTAATTTGCAGACTCTTGAAGCCCTTTCTGATTTACATATCAAAAGAGAACATGTCATACCAGACATTTTTTCACTTGATATTTTCTAAAGTGTTTATTGGAGTTCCAAAATGACATCTTAACATTTAAATTGAATGCTGCATTTATATATATCTTGTAAATGTGTATAATATACAATGCAATATTTCATAGAAATCGTTTAGGTATCAAATTGTAGTGTTAATGATATGTCGAAAGAGCCGGCCTCTTAAAACTTCAGAACAAGAACCTTGATGGCATCACTGAAAGATGTATAACATTTTAATACATTATATCATATTTCTCTAATCCTTTCATTATCATGTCAAATTGACTTTTTTTGATATTGTTAAATGATTTCAAAGTTTCATTGATATATTATGTACACATATTTAACTGTTACAACTAAAAATCAGTTCTCCAAACATACAGGGTGTGATAGGAAAAAGTTATTTAACTATACGGTATCAATATTCAGATGAGAAAGAAACTATTTTTCTGTGCGATTAGAGTAATTGCCTTTAATTTGATTACCAAGGGAGGCTAGTCAGTTAGGACTGACGTACAATAATTGTAGCTATTTTTAGCCCCTCTACTCTCTATTTCAAACATACAGTGTACTAGTTTAAAAATTATATTGATCATATCAAATGTCTATTTAATAAATTTGAAAAAAATATTTTTTTGAATTATGAGCTTTTTAACTTAATTTATTAATTGGAGAAATGGAATTTATAAGCAAAAGGATGAATATTTTGTTATAACTTATATACAGAAATGTTTTAGAAGGTAAATATGAAATTTTATGAAAAGTTTTGATTCTTAACAGAATTTAACTGTGACATCAGCGTTCACCTTTTTGTAATAATTTAAGGAAAATATATGATATTATTACCTCGTCAATAGTATATGTCATTCTTTTAACTCATTGTTCCTCATCTGATCAATATCTTTGTTGATTTTTGATCAGGTGAAACAGAAACACTTGTGCGGGTCAGTATGTGTATATGTTTGTGTTGTTTTTTGATGATATTTGATATCGGCAGTCAGAGTCGCTGCTAATTTGACAACAGTGAGGTTATGTAATATCCTGGGAAGGATAGCATTTTATTTTATTTTTTTTTTTTTTTTATACAACTGTATTTTTTACCTTTACTTCCCTATTTCTAGTTAGGTATACATGTTTTACCAGCGTTGATGTGTACAATGGACAACAGATAAATATCTGTCACTGTGTTTATCATAGTAATGTTTACATTGTATACAGTGTAGATGTATGTATGATTCATGCAATAAAAATGTACAAACATTTCTATTTGTTTGTTTTATAAAATTACATTACCACATAAACATGTCTACACTTACAGAAGTTGTTTTATACAAGAGATTTTACCTCCCGACAATAGGATAATATTGATGTTATCCTAACTCTGAGGAACAGAGAACAGGACATGACAAAGGAAAGATTTATGCCAAAACCATTGAAAACCTGGGTGCTCCTGAATTGCAAGTGTCTTCTACATCATAAGCTGACAGGTTTTATGTAAATCTTGGTCAATGTCACATTCAAAACGAGATCAAGGTGCTCAATAAGGAAACAGCTAAGTTATTACTATTCCGTTTGAGTGAAGGATACAGAGACACCTACACCAGTGACTTGAACATTGTCCATATTTTCAAGAAAGGGCAGATTTTTGTCATTTTCAAAATGGTCACAATCTTGAAAACCTTATTGCAACTTTTCTAAACTGAAACTTAATTTGACACAGGATTTCCACTAATGAGTTCCTTGTGGTCCACAAATATTCACTCAAATGCCATATTCAACATGGCAACCATAACTGCCATCTTGAATATAAGACGAGACTATCACTAGAGTGGTGTGTATGGTCAACAAACGGTCTTGACTGCAATTCAAACCCATGCCACATAAGGCTACATTTGAAAACTTTTAAGTTTTATTAAGACAGGTCTTCCACTGATGAGTATGTAAGTTCCTGTTACCAAATGACATTTAGACTCATGTCACATTTAGGATGTCCACCTTTGAAAACCCTTTTTAAAATCTCGTGATCACTATTTTTCCTGTATGGAAAGTCCCTTCTTAAGATATGTCGATATGATTAGCTCTGAATTTTACAATTCTCGAATATAACTAAAAGGAAAGGAGGGAAAAAGAATGGCGCTTTCAAGGTACAGTAGTGGACTCCTATCCTTCTGGGGAAAGCTATATCCTATTCAAGGTCAAGGTTACAAAAACTTATCAAAGGTCAAATTGAAGTAACGACATTTCTTCATCAAATCAAATTATACTAACCGGGTTTATCAAAGAAAAAAACTCCCTGTACAATCTGCCTGTAACCCTGTGACAGTTTTTCTTGTTTTGTATTAATCACACGTGACAATTACACGGCAGACGGTCACCAATTGCTGTCTTCCGTTTTCTGATTGAAGGCACTTTGACAATATAAGAGCTAAAAACGGATTCCGAATTTTGATGGTTTTTTTTTCTCGAACAAGTCAATCACATATTTCAGAGAGGTGGTATTAAATGTTTTCAATGTCCTTGGAACCTGAACCCGACATGTATATATATATATGTGTGTGTGTGTGTGTGTTTGATGCTCGTTGGTCTGCCTGTTGACTCCATTTTCGTTTATCTTGTTCTCATTTGAGAACGTGATATTACTTTCTTGGCTAGACTAATATTTATATGGCGGATGTCGATGATGACGGATGATTGTGTTGACATGTTGGCATTTTCTGCTTGTTTTCGATAGTGTTACTAATTTTCACATATTTATCTTTAACACCTTTGGAGTCGCGCTCCATACAACTGAAATTTGTAATTTGGACTTGTCTGTATCTATCAATAACAGAAAATGCAATTTTAAAATGGAGAACTCGGTAACTAAAGGAACTTATACAGTACTGCTATGATAGCTGTACAGAGTAACTCGACCGGTTTCAGAACTCTGATCTGGAAAATGCGTAAGTACTAATACATGGACGGACGGACGGCCTAACGCATGGGCAGAGCTCAATCATTTCCCGCAATGGCGTTTCGCTGGGGGTAATAGGGACTAAACAAATTGGGTACACCGTGTCGCGTTGCGTCATCCGTGAAAATCGCGCGAAAAATAACATGCCGTTATACGTTGTTTTGACGTCACTTCCTGCAGTAACATTCTTCTGAACAACGTTATTTTCCTCACGGAAACACTTGAATAGTTTGGTGTATTGTGAACATGAACGCTTGCTTTCATATACAACATGGGGAAGCGGTCACGTTTCACAAGATTTCGTGATCAAGTGGTCAGGTTTTTAAGTAACATTCGAGTCTGCATGCAAGAGTTATGGTTTACCATTCAAGAATTATGTACACCCGAAGAAATTTTCAACAGAGCTGACAGCCACGAGGGATTGATTTCGCTAACTGACATTTCAAAACCTCAGAGAAAAGACCAATGTACAAACTGTGAAGAAATAGTGAAGGTCAGTATGGCGTGTCAAACCGATGCACAGTTATTTAACAATGCACTGAAAGCTTTAGGAAACTCGGCAGATGATTGTAATTTTGGGAAAACACTGAGACATGCAAATAAGAAACATATATCAAAAACACCACAGAGCGAAGATGCTTTAGAGGGATCAATGCAACAAAATAAAAGAAAACCTTCAAATTTCAACGAAAATTATAGTGCTGAACGAAATCGTAGGCAAGCCGCCACATCTAGTGCCCCTGCCCGTGTCACACGTTCTTCGGAGCCGATAGCAACTCAAACCCCAAAACAGACACGATCTGCTGGATTTGTTGAGAAAGGAACATTAATGCGAGAGGGGAGTATTATCAAACCACAACGCCAACTGAAAGGCATTTTCCATCCCTCTGTTTTCAGCTCGTCTGCGAGAGACACGAGGGGATCAATTATTTCGAAGACAATTTACCATGCCGGTAGACGATCTATCGGAACTTCAGCGATAGTTAAATGCCATGACGCGTCTACGCAGACATTCCTGAGTATAATACCTACAGAGATTTTTCTCCCTCCATCAACGACCCCATCGAAAGTTAATAGAAAGACAAATGCAGTTAGCAGTAACGAAAGTGAGGAACTCATAAACCAGCCGAAAAGTATACAAGACAACCAAACTGCTATCGCTGAAACTCAGGAATTACCAAGTAACAATGTGTTTTATTTTAAAGCTATTTCACCAAGTTGCAAGACAAAGCTTGATAAAGAAGTGAAAATGAATATCAATGTAATGGTTGACAAACAAGGAAAGACAATGAATTCGACCGAGAAGGATTTGTCTGTAACCGAAATGTCAATGTTTAATGATAAAGCCAAGATGACACACGAAGCAGGTGGGAAAGATAGAAAGTCTACAAGGAAGAAAGAACTTCAGTCGCCTACCCAGTCAAACGGAAACAACCAAAAACTTAAAGCAAAGAAAATTTACACGACATCAAAAACGCCTGATGAAAACGACCAATTGTCGACTGAATCCAAATTAGTTAAACCTGCAGAAACAAAGATTGATTCACCGAATTATATTAGCCCAAACACAGTTACTGTTCCCAATGTCGTTATGTGCTCGGACGGAAGGACTGAAAATGGCGATGCATACGGACGTGAAAACTACATTAAAGTTATGCTTTTGAAAATAGTGGAAAGAATCCCGCATATTAAGAAAATGAAAGCAAGACAAGATTCATTACCAGAAGACGACCCCGAGAGGGACCGTCTTTATAAGACAATTAATAAGGAAATAAAGAACAATATAAATGATGGTATGGAGAAATTCTATAAGCATTACAATGCACTACAGCCATCAGAAAGGGCTAATACAGCGGAACTAGAAAAAAACTTCCTCATGGATTTGATCACGGACATGAAAAAAACAGACAATGAATTTCTTGCGGAGGAAACAAAGGCACACGAAGAGGCGCACCTCAGGAAAAAAGGTGGTAACCAATTTCAGTATCCGGAGGTAAAGAAATTGAAGTTGGATACAGATATGGAAGCTAAACATAATCATGGAGTGAAACAATCGCAGGAATCCAAGAGATATGCACAAAGTTCCGAGAACACGCATATTGAGATAATTCAGCCAGCGCCAGCGGAAGTCGAAATAGAGACGAAGTCAAAACATCGAAACAAATCCAGACACCGAAAAAACGTAGTGATAGAAAGCGCAGCACCGCTTCCCGAAGACACCAGAACGTCACATCCGGAACCAAAGAAAGAGGACCGGGATGTAAACATTGTCACGTCAGAGGAAGAAATACACAAGAAAACAGAGGACGCGGGGAAGTTAGTTGAGGAAAACTCATCTGAAACCGGTTCTAGTGAGTACGGCGAGATTATTGATTTGATGAATGACTTTGAAGATGAAGCTCATCGTGATGGTCTTTTAACAAACTGGGACGCAACCCCGTTTGGTGATATTGCCGAGTTTTTCGACAGAGGCCACTACCGAATCGACGGTCAAACAGTTGTTAGCAAGGGAAGCAGAGCAAGCAAGGTAGATGTGCGTCCACAAAAGGTAAAAAGACGAGGCATTCCAAACAAACACCTTCAAAATACAAACAACTATCTGCAAGAGAGTGCCGGAGACATATCAAAAGACTGGCTGTTAGAGGAGGAGGATGTTAATGAAACCAATGCTTATGGTCCAGTTCTTGAGGAACTTGTAGAACCTTTAGGTTCAAATATAGCACATGAGACTTTGGCATGTTTGGATGGAACCGAAAAAGGGAATGACCTTCTTGCCAACGAAGAACCCGTGGTTGATACACGGCATCTGCAGGATATGCCTTGTGATGTCATCGTAAAGAAAAAAGGTGAATGTGATTTACTTGAGGAAAAATATGCAGTTGGCAAACAGCAGAAAAACAAGGCTAAGCCAAAAAAGAAGAAAGCAAAGAAATCGACAATATACGCCGTAAATTATAGTAATAACGCGGATGATGAATGGTCTGACGACGATGACGACGATGACGACGAGAGTGACAATGAAAGTAGTGATGAAACCAACCAGTTTAGCGACGATGAAACAGATTGTGAAAGCGATGAGTCAGAAGACGAGGCTTTATATCAAGCTAGAATTGCACGATATACAGAAATTTTGCAAGCAATCCCCCAACCAAACATGATGGCGAACACCAAGTCTGCGAATCTGTAAATGTCTTCGTCAATAGATTTAAACGCGGAAGTCTGAAGATTAAGAGTTTCTGTCCCTGTCATTTCGAGTTGCTTAACATTAGATTAATTCCTATATTGACACTTCAATTGAACTGGTATAAATATTGATGTTTCTAGTACAATTAAAATTATGTATAATCACAAGGATTGTTTGTTTTTTATGCTTGGTAGAATCTAAAATGTGAGTCTCACATGCAGAGACATTACATACCTGCCTGTAGAAACTATTCGAAATAACTTTGAAGTCTCAATTTGAAGTCTCTCTCCTTTTGCTAGGGTAGTGCGGGGAAACTAGTCACCGTCCAGTCTTACTTCTATACACTGAATGGCTAGAAGTAAAATGTCCGGAGTAAACGCTATATGCGGTAATTTCCTTATTCCATCTTCATCGAGTAAGATTTTAAATTTCCGGATTAATTACTACATACTGTATTCATAGGTTGACATCAAAACTAGGTAAAACTTCGGGATCAATTCAGAATCTTCAGTCCGGACTAACACATCACTACGTACACTCAAGTTCAGAATCTTTAGTCCGGACTAAAACATCACAACGTACACTCCTGGTCAGAATCTTTTGTCCGGACTAAAACATCACTACGTACACTCCAGGTCAGAATCTTCAGCACGACACCGTACACTACAGGTCAGAATATTCAGTCCGGACTAAAACATCACAACGTACACTCCAGGTCAGAATTTTTGTCCGGACTAAAACATCACTACGTACACTCCAGGTCAGAATCTTCAGCACGACACCGTACACTACAGGTCAGAATTTTCAGTCCGGACTAAAACATCACTGCGTACACTCCAGGTCAGAATCTTCAGCACGGCACCGTACACTACAGGTCAGAATCTTCAGTCCGGACTAAAACATCACTACGTACACTCCAGGCCAGAATCATCAGCACGAAACCGTATACTTCAGGCCAGAATCTTTAGTCCGGACTAAAACATCACAACGTACACTCAAGGTCAGAATCATCAGTATGACACCGTACAATCCAGGCCAGAATCTTTAGTCCGGACTAAAACATCACAACGTACACTCTAGGTCAGAATCATCAGCACGACACCGTACACTACAGGTCAGAATCGTCAGCACGACACCGTACACTACAGGTCAGAATCTTCAGTCCGGACTAAAACATCACTACGTACACTCCAGGTCAGAATCATCAGTACGACACCGTATAATCCAGGCCAGAATCGTTAGTTCGGACTAAAACATCACAACGTACACTCAAGGTCAGAATCATCAGTATGACACCGTACAATCCAGGCCAGAATCGTTAGTCCGGACTAAAACATCACAACGTACACTCCAGGGCAGAATCATCAGTACGACACCGTACACTCCAAGCCAGAATCGTTAGTCCGGACTAAAACATCACTACGTACACTCCAGGCTAGAATAATCAGTACGAAACCGTATACTCCAGATCAGAATCGTCCATCCGGAGTGAAAACGCCACACCTTACACTCCAGACCAGAATTGTCCATCCGGAAACAACATTTCGAAATTTACTGTACAGTGCACTAAAAATTTTAACACGGTTAAGACACAACTGTCAGTACAACAAGCAGACAAATGAAAAAAAATCGCGCATCTTACAAGTTTCAAATTCTCAGGTACATTAACATCGGATCAATATTGTAAAAACATCAATGCTCGGCTGTACCTTTCGTATAACTGATGGTGTTCAACTTTTCTGTCACGAGATCCACACTGCACAATACTGCACAATAACTTAGGGATCTGAAAACTGTCGACGTTATTACCGTACAGAGCGCCTTGTCGGTGCCATCTCGAAACCTCTCCGGACCACGTGCACAACAATGAATATTGGGTTCTTGAAATTTATAGTGGAAAGCATAAAGATACATTATATTACATTATGTACGTGTTTTGATCATTGTAAATATTACTATTTTTCATAATGTACTCTACAGTTAAGAGATAGTTGCAACCAACTCTATGAACAGGACCAACAGTGAGAGGTCAAAATGTCAACGCCGGCGGCCATGCCCAAGTCAATACATGACGTCAACTATCCAATGTTATACGAGCGAAGCTCTTTACCTGTAACATGTGCAAGATCTCGTGTCATGGAGCATAGGTGCTGTGCACTTAATCCGTAGTTAGTGTTAATTAAAAGAAAATACCATGACAGCATTTTTGCTTTCCTGAATTTGTTTGGCTTACTTTTAGTTATTACTGAACAAAAAGTTGATTTTACACAATTGAAATTTGCTTGACTGAGGTTTAAAATATATTCCTTAGAGTACTCGGCGCCTAACGCCAATCAGTATCATGACGTCATAACATATACACAAGCACACACAACGCCAAACAATAACTGCGCGATCGACCACTCGCTGTAGTGCGCCATATTTGAATTCCTTGAAACACAAACTAGTCAACAAAAATTTATTTATTTATTTTTTCACTTTCTACCAAGAATGCAATTATGGCATGTAAGCTTCACTTTTTCCAGGATGCCGGACTCATATTGCGTTTTAATCCACGTTGAAATCGTTGTATACAATACTACAGAATACTAGATAATGATTTCAATGTCTGGACAATTACAAACCGATAAAACATCATCTTCTTCTTCAATTATGTTTCTGGTACATTTCAAATGTAAAATACGTTGGAAGTACTTTTTGCGGGGATTATTATTTTTTTGTCATATGCTTAGAAAAAAATTGGCCAGCGTTCCTAAATAACACGAAGTCATAAATACCCAAACTATCCCAATCATGCCATCAAAACAGCGTTATCAAACAATGATAAAACAAACTTGTCGAACTGCTTAGCAACATCACTTAGACCTCAGAAGCATTAGTGATAAATAACAATCCTGGATAGACGATAATGGAGCATGGGAGTGCCTAATCACTGTGTGACAGGAGCTCCACGTTATAGCAACATTTACCAACAGTTTATCTTGTTCTCACGTCACATTCCGGTATTGGGTACAAACGATATGTACCTTCCGGTCTCGCGAGATTTCAAGACGGGTAGGTTATAAAAACTACCGATAACGCTCCTATTTCAGGTGATACTTGAAATCGTCATCGAAAGGAGGGATTTCAGCGTTCCTAAGGTAAGAATGTTCTTTTTTCTATTAAAATGAGAGACAAGGTATTTTATTTTTCATTTCTTCTTTTTTCCGGTTTTCAACGTTCTCGATTACGGTAAAAAAATTCACAACTCAATCTGTTAAAAAAAAGGAATATATGTTAAATAATTTTTTGTTTCATATTGTCAACAGCTAAAGTAATTTAGAGACGGTGTCACGGTATTTTATATATATACCACATCCAGCAGTCGATTTGCAGTAATCATTTGCACAATCTCAAAGCGCAGTTTGATTTTAGTCTCTCTTTTTTGTAATTGAAATCAGTAAGTATTACTAAACAATTTTTATATATCGAGTTATTTTAAATTATCGAACATCATTCTGACGGACGACATTATAGACGAGATCAGTGATGAAATTATTCTCTGGTGCGCCTTTTGCAAACCTCCACGGATTTGTTCTGGCATTTTTGCGCAGGGTGGTATGCCATTACGACAGGTCAATGTTAAATGTTCTCCACAGTATATATATCATGAAAAAATACTCTGAAATATAGATACACTAGTATTTCATATATATCTCTATGCTTTATTAATAGTGTGTAGATATGGACACGCTTGAAGTGGAGATACACTCTAATATGGCAGCGACTTTTATATACTGCAGTGTCTATACATCGCTTCTATAGAAATGAAATGGTAGCTTGAGATAAGGTGTTTGTGGTGATGACAGCGTTAAAAACCAAAATATTATATGGCATTTTATTGACAAAAGAAATATCATGTTACTTTTAAGGCTATGAATTATAAATGTAGCAGTTGTCGGCTATAAGTTCTTATGCTCTCTTTGGTCGCTTGCTTCAAAAATTCATAAAGTTTAGCATAATTAGTATGATAAAGCGGAGAGGATATAAACTACGAAAGGCACTCTATGTTATAAATTTTCAGGTCACAGTACACAATTTATTTATTGTTCTAATAATTTTGTTTCAGTCATGCGGTCCTATCGGATTTTTTGGACATGTGTAATTGGCATGGTCCATGTAATGCTACCTTTTTCCTTTTCCTGTGACGTACCTGGCTGTTTTTGTTTCGAAGATTTTTTGAGCTGTCACAATCTGACGTCATTTCCGGCTAAATTTCCGAAAGATTTAAAAGACATACATTTCTATGACATCACGTTTGAGAAAATACCGACATATGCATTCCGTGATCTGACTGACTTGAAGACTTTTAAGGTATACCGAGGTTCTGTGGAGGTGATAGAAAGTTCTTCTTTCAATGGATTTCAAAGCTTACAAACAGTTTACTTCGATAATGTGTCGATAGGGGAGATTCAGGGACGAGCCTTCGGTAAACTGCGCAATATTTCGATAACATTCCTTTTATCGTCTATTCGCACCGTACGATCATATGCATTTGAAAACATCGGAAAAGCGAATAACCTTGTTTTTGCTAACCTGAAGATTGCAAATATAGAAAGCCATGCGTTCGAAAATATATCTGATGTTAAGTCAATTTCGTTTCGTATGTGTAACATCACATCTATGGCCCCTCGATCTTTTCACAACTTTGACAGGATTGGATCCTTTGGGTTTCACACTAACAATGTGGATTCTCTTGCGTGCGGTAATATCGACAGTGCTATCTCCGCCGCAACCAATCAACTTATGGTGTACTTTTTCAGCAACACGGCTTCTTGTAACTGTGATCTTACCTGGGTTATAAAAAACCCGACAATGACTCATGTATTGTCCTATTCTAATAAGTGTATTCTGCCGGGATCAAAAGGACATGTCAAAGTCAGCTTGGAAGATTTAACATTAGACGTGCTAAATTGTACCCAGCAAGACGCCACTTGTCCCGAAGACGAATCATCAACAGCAACAACGGAAGTGACATCACAAGCGATGTACACGTCTTCATCGACTATAGACATGGTGTTTTCGACATCGACAACTTCTGTATCAACGGACAGTAAACGAGACACTATGACAACCACTGCAGCCTCTGTAGCAGTCGAACCGGATCACATAATGACGAGTACCGTAATATCAACGGAAACCACAGCGCCCTCTAGATCTGTAACCACAGGAGACACACCGTCGCTGACCAGAAGCGAACATTCTTCACCATCCAATCACTTCTCCACATTCATATCAACCACACAGACCAATTCTAGTGTCACGACTCCTCCTACCATTACCAAGGTAACAACAATCACTCGCTCAGTGTCAAGGACATCAGCGATTCCATACCAAACGACGTCTTATATAGAAGCTCAGCACAGAGAGGCCAGCAGCGCCAACTTAGTCATGTGGTCTGTACTGACCTTGACCTTGACATTGACTTTAAATTGCTTATTGTGCCGAGCAATAACATCCGTTTCATTGTGAATATTGGTAGAAACATTAACATAATGTTTTAAATTTTTAAAAATGTCATTGACTTTTTAACATCGTATTAAATGATGAACGGGACGAAGAAAAGAGACAAGCATTCATCTGATATGCTTCCTCTGGGTGTCATATGATACGGATAAATCTGTATTTGTTTAGTGATAAACTTAGTCAGACCACACGACTAAGTTTATCACTTGACAGTGTATCCACCAGTCAGAAAAAACCATTTGACGTAGTCGTCAGTTCTATTCCCACAATATTGACGTCGTAATTGTCAGGTGCCTGCATATCATTTATAAAAAAAAACCTTACTTACTAAATGAAATAGGCATTGTTTTACAAATGTAAATATTTACACGATAAACTGTTACCTTATGAGGTTTACAGCTTATATGAAGCCAGTCCGTTGGAAAATAAAAAGAATGACGCCGTTAGAACGCCATGAATAATTATCTTCCGCCCGGATTGACTTCATATCAACTGTATATCCCATTGGTAACAGTTTATCGTTGTCAAACATGTATAAAAATCAAAACAAAAAAACAGGAATACGTCGTTTATGTTTGCTGACGTCAGCAAGTTCAAATCCTCGTGTCATCATAAATACCCATTGTATTGTGACATGGTGTAGTAGCAAATTTAATTTTATTACTGGTATTAAAGTTTTAACTCTCGCATTTGTTTTCAATAAAATAAGTACATTATTTTACAATATATTTTTTCGTTCGTTTTGAATGAAATTGTACATTGTTATTTCGTTACAACGTGCTGCAGCGCTCAGTCAGATTTACCGAAACAGTATGTCTGGTGCTTACGATACATCACGTTAGTTATTGAGGTTTTCATGTCGTGTCGTGGATTGATGCGATTTTCCGGATAGCATAACCACGGAAATTGTAAATGGCAATCAATCCTGTCAGTAAGTGACGACATTTTATTTGTAACGGATTCTTCACTTTAAATTTTAACTGAAAGGTCGACGTCTACATCAGCAGACGAAATTGGTAATCAAGTATGTTATGGCGATAATAGTGATTTTATGAAAAAATTACATGTTTGACAATAAAATTGGTATTTCAAAATTCGATAGCTTTGCAAACTTACTTATCTTTATGAAGGTCTTACTGAAGTCCATCGAATGTGTATTCAAACGCTTGACCAGATGGGCGTTCATAGTCCGATGTACTCCCATCTCATTTACATAGAAACAGGAATCTGATGATAAAATGGAAATATGACGTCATGCTGTTTGTTTATACTGTGTATTGTGTACATTTTTATTGTTTTAGCATGTCAGTTATATATCATTATTATTGATTTTTTTTAAAATTTAAATTAGAATTTAATGAAAATAAATAGATAGAATTAATAATCAATATAATATATAATGCTAAAATAAGAGAGAAACTAAATATTGAACACTTAACGTGTAATAATAAAAAACGACACTTTTTTTAAAATCGATCTGACAATTCGGTTTTAAAGAAAGACTGATTAGATAAGACAGAGCTTTTTAATTTTCTAAGGAAATCACTGTGTTCCAGTGTATTCAATGTACTTTTATACTAATCGTGTGGAGAATTAGTAATCATAGGCTTGATTGATATGTCAGTAGTACCTTATATACAAGTATATTCATTGTGTGGAACGTAACTACCATTTACAATTTATTTACTCCTGCAAATGTTGATGTCTTTATCATTTTTGTTATTGAGTATCATCTGTTATTTTGATATTGAAGGTTGTTAAGCTTCGCATATAGACAATTTTCTAATCTAATACTGACAAAATTTCTCAAACAATCGGGTTTGTGCACACTCCTTCAATACTAGCATTTGATGTCTTGTTTTTAATGGAATTCCTTTAATTCCGTGCAGGACTCCTCAACTGCTCTGTCAATGAAATAATATAAATACTATTTGCTGTAGTGTTATCCGACTAGATGAGACGGATTTACACGAAATTACATAAATTGTATATATGACTTTCTCTCCGTGTTGTTTTGTATTTAAACATGTCGTTTTGTTTTGTCATTATGTATTTTTGTCAAACTTTTTGTGGAAAGGGTTTAATATAAGTTGGAAAACTTGTGCCCAATCCCATTGAAATTGTTCAATTAATTAATTGTTTAAATGAATTTGAAGTACAAAACATGTATAGAAAAAATTATCATGACCACCGGTAGGTCTTAATACTGGGTAGTTAGGTATAGAATTCGCAAGACTGCTCATGATTTGTTCTGTTCATTTTTAAGTTCATAATTATGTCCATGTTTGTTCGTAAAATAGGTCCTGGTGGCTCAAAGGTTATCTAAGAGTTAACAACAGTGGTAAGTGAAAAAACTGAAGTTGTTTCTGTTGATAAAACAAAGCGCAGTTAAATGCAAAACTAACACTCAAAACATGTCACTCGAATCTACCATACTACAAAATGTACACCTATACAGTTTTTGTGTACTTTAGTTGTAAAATTATGTCCTTGCTTCAAATAAAACGTTACACACAAACCTTACCGTTTTGATGTCGTCATTTGATTTAGCTTTAATCTGGACTGTGAAAACATGTCCTAGTCAACTTATCCGGATTTGTGTACAAACTAATAACAAAAACGACCTAATTCCTTGGAGTTATTTCCCTTTGTGCCGTAAAATATGATCTAATTAGATGTCTCACTGCATATTATAACATTTACATAACATCTTAATAAAGAATGATTTCAATTTTCTTTTATTCATATCTGAATATTTCCATTGTCCCCTGATTATCTCTGACCCGCCTTTGAACAACCGGGACATGATGTTTGTATTGGAGGGGAGTTCTCTGACAATGTATATTGTATCATAACTCCTACCCAGTCTTCATGTCGCTTTTTTGGCAAGTAAATATGTTTAACTAACTGTTTACGCTGACGTCTATATCATCACTGAAGATTTCTATAAGAACTAAACAACAATCACATTTTTTATTCACTGTCCAGAATTCATCATGTCTATTTCTTAGATCATTTTAAAAGTTGCTAATTTTTGTACCTTTTATAAAATACAATGTATTTATTAATGATTTATTAATTCATCAACATTGATGAAAATTCAATGCCGTAGATAAGCGATAGCAATAATAAAAGTAATAGTAGACTTTATTTCAGGAGTATTTAAGAACTTGTTTAGCCGAGGCTAATCTTCTACAGGGTCCTCTTGTTAGTAAAGTTTTTACGACCAGGGATCAGACGAAATGCCACACATCTATATCTGGACTGTGTGTTATACATTGTTGATGAAACACGGCCACAACAGTCATATCTGTCTCCCTATGATGAGGATCCAAACACACAAACAGCCGAGGGAGGGCGCGATAAGCTGGCCTCACTCAGATCGAGTTTACGTAACTGTCTCCGTAGCCAGGTAAACCCATTATTTTATCGTGTACAAACCACACCTTGACGATAAATGAAATGTACCCTAATTGTTCGCTTGATAAATGCATTAGGAATTCAAACATATTTCATAAAGAATGTTGTATACTTTTTTTCTCATTTAAGAACGTTACATTACTTACTTGGATTAACCAAGGTTTACATGGGAGTGTCATCGATGAAGCAGAATACGCTTACTCTTTCGGAACACCTGGTCTTATTCTTCTTCTAACTGTAAAAGTTGAGAAAGCCTAGATTGAAATATTTTGAGTGTTAATTTTGGCTTTTCACGTTATTGTTTCATCAACAGCAACAAATTAATTTTTTCGCTTAACACTGGTTAACTCTAACCAACTTTTGAGGACCTGGGGCCAAGCTGAGGATTGAAGGTGTCCGACAAATCATCGACGATTCCTGTAGATACACTATCAGTGTTTAATTTGGATGCTGTTATAATACTTTTGTGTTTTTCGGATGTCTTTTAATATTATTTTGGTGTTTGTTGGCTGGATTTATCGCCAAGTCAACATCCAGAATAATTTTGGGTTGACTACAGCACTGATAAAATGCGAGAGGCTCGTCGCATGACATGCGCAGTAACTGGGGTAAAGTTTCTTGCTTATGGACATAACCGCTTCAGCACGTGGCTATCCGTTTCTCAGCTTCCGGAGAAACCCAAATCACTCCGAGGAGGGATAGTGGAACTAAGCACCTCGGATATTCGCCCGACTCGGGTAGCAGAGTCAAAGTCCTTGTGACTAATTTCTAGCGCCCCTCTGTTATTATCAAAGCGTTATTGTACAGAATGGTCACATCATAAAAATCTACCTTTCAACTACAAAACTACAATATATGACATAGTAGTTCACGAAACATGTTTGTATGGAGGTTTCATAAAATCTAAAATCACGTCCGGCATTGTTTTCCACGATGCAGTGATGTCGACTCGTTCGTTTCACAACAGTATAAACTTCCCTACCAGTTATCAATATTTCGCAAACCCGCGGAATTCAATGCAAACAAATACATGCAATTTTGTGTCTTGTCGTGACTGTTTTAATCCGTCCACGAAAATTTTCAGGACAGGTTGACGGTACAAACATTTAACAAAACATACAATGTTGTCGGTATTTATAAACTGCTGTTAAGTTAAGTGATGATAAACGTGCTATTGCCAGGATGTTTTCATTTTCGTTTTTATTAAATTGCAATCTAGCGACCCCAATGTCTAACAAACACTATTGATATCGACAGTACTGGTACAAACAGGTACCACAGACTTGTCGGGTAGGTCGATTTTAGACACATCTTGACGATTTGTAAACACACACGGTTCCCACGGATAGACATTCAACCATGCTCGATTGATGTATGTAAATTGTAAAGTAGGATTCATATCACGTGATTTGGAGATCGAAAGGGGAAGGTACAGAAATATTGAAAGAAATAACAAACTGTTATGTATTATGTAATGATCATGATATCTGAGACGAGTGCCATTTTGTAATTAAGTGTCCATTTAATGTAGATATTCGCTCGAAATTCATTAAGCCATTCTACGTCAATTGTCCAAACCTGTTTAA